ACAGACAGACAGACAGACAGACAGACAGACAGACAGACAGACAGACAGACAGACAGACAGACAGACAGACAGACAGACAGACAGACAGACAGACACATAGACACAGACACATAGAGAGAGAAAAATAGATAGAAGCTTATAGCAGCAGTACCATCTCCCTAAGAAGTCCGCTCGAGAGGTACCGTACATATTATACTTCATTCGCATTTACTATACTATGGACACAAATAGCTATAGCTATATCCATTACTCCAACCTGTAGAAATAAGACATAGCGTATAATTCTACAGTATATATATATAAATGTATATCTCCGTATAAGTAAAACGATGTATAGAGTAGAATAGACGTAGTCGTAGACTATACAACTTCTACTTCATACACTTAGATACGTAGCTATAATTTCACATAGACTCAAAGAAGAGAACAAGATATTTGGAGACGGACAGAAGTTACTAGAGCATGCGTGTATATAGTTGTAGATAGAAGTAGAGTAGAGTGAAGAGTGAAGAGAGAAGAAGGGCAACCGACGGAGATATATAGAGCAGTCCGACGAATACACATGTCGTATACACGCACTCTACCTTACTTATCCTTACTCATCGCCATGTATACATCATATCCACCCATGCACGTCAAACAGTGAATCGATCAGACGAGTTCCAGCCTCGATGGCCTAGTAGTAGTTGATGAACGGAGAGTATAGTACTACGAGACTGCTAGGTACGGGCTAAGTGCACAAGTATGTGTATGTATGGGACGATCGGGGATTATTCAACCAAAACGTCCGACACCCGGACACCCCCTATCGTGACCTCGGAGTCTTTGGAATCCGGATATATATCTATGTACTGTAGATGGATGATTCGGCCGGTGTAATCAGGGGCTGAACAGCAGAAGTACTAGCTGAGCCACTGAGCGAGGCTGCTGCATACAAAGGCGGTTAGCGTTGTTAGTCCAGCCTTACCGTCCCTGAGACACCCAAAGGAGGAGGTACGTAAGCGGGTGCAGGTGACGTGACCTGGGGTATAATTAAACACCGTATTCCACCATCTAAGTAATAAGATCTCACGAATCTAGTGTATTACGACAAGCTGCCAGTAATATACTATAGTACTCACACCACGACCCCGCACGCGCGCGCGCAAGATCCGGATCGCGATTCCAATAATCGCAAGCCCCTATCGATCAGATCGGATTAGCAGGAAGAGGAGGGAAATTGCGCCCTATCGCCGCGTCGCAGCCCGTCGCTTTCTCCTTTCACCCTTTCCCTCCGCGCCCGAGTGGGAACTAGGGCAGACCTCGATCCGTCATAGCTGCGCTGGGAGGTGACCAGCGAGGGATGGTAATTATGGTAAATTGCACTTTGCCGCGCGCGCGCCGGCTGGGCAGAGAGCGAAAGCATAAGAGGCCAACGAGCAGAACGACCGCGAGCGACAAGACTTATCACTGCCCGTCCGAGACTGGCGGCGCGAGTCGTGGGGAGTCACGCAGCAGGACTGTAGCAGCTATGGCTTATATAGGAATTAGCTGGGACAGGGTCGCGAGCTATTGGCATCACCGCAATTTCGATGCCGAGCCGGTGAGGATGTGCCAGGACATGGCATAGCACAGCACAGTACTATGCAAGGCTGTGCTGAGATCAGGTGTTCAGTCCTCGGCTGTTTGACTAAAAGGATGGGATGAATGAATGAATGAATGAATGAAGATGAAGCATTCCGAGTGGAAATGGCGAGTCCGAGAGATGGCAGCGGTGGCCACACAGAGCGCGCGAGGATGAAGCAAAGTGTAGAAAGGTGCAAGGGACGAAAAGGGACGAAAGGAGCAAAAGTGACTAAAAGTGACTTTATTGTTTTGCACATGGAGTCGTCAACGGCAGCTAAGCCGGATTGGGCTGTGTAATCTCCCCACGCACAGGGCAGGCGCAGGTACCAGCCACGCGATACCGGATGCGGGTGGTGATCGTCAGGTCCCCCAAGGCAGAACCCGCGCTATTTTGCTGTTTTCACTCCAAACTCACCAAATTCACTCCAAACCCTCCTCAACTACACCCCTGGCTTTGGTCCAATTGAGTCTCTTGGCCGCTCGTGGCTCGTGGCTCGCACGCCCTCATAACATGCTTCCATCCCGCCGCCGCTCATCACACTCTCCTCCTCCTCCTCCTACTCTTCTCTCGCCTCAAGGACTCTTGACAATCGCCAGCGACGGCTCCTCTGCTTCATCCACCGCTTCACTCGTTCAGCGGGCATTCATTACGGCCAGAAATATACACGTACACACGATACGACGCCCAATAATATCGCCATATCCGTCACCGTAATCACTCAACATGAAGGGTCTTCTCATTGCTGCTGGCCTCTCGGCTTCTGCTCTCGCCCACGCCGGCCACGAGCGTCACATGGAGTTCCACCACCGTAGGAACGACGAGCCAGAGCAGTGCGGCTGCACCACCTACGTGTCGACCATCCTCCACGAATACACCAGTATGTGGATACTTATACATCGCGTGACTTGAGCCAGCTCGCATACTGACCCGTGTCAAACAGCAACCACATGGATGTCTGCCGCCACCCCAGCACCGTCGCCGTCGTCCTCGCCAGCTGAGAACGGTGGACACGATTCCAACAACGGTGGACACGATTCCAACAACGGTGGCTACAGCGGTGGCTTCGCGCCCATCACCAACGGCGACAAGTGGGCCGTCACATACAGTATGTCATGAGCCATTGTCACTGTCTCACCCAGGGGGCAATTGAAACACATTCGACACCATATTCTAACCCCCCTTTTCCAGCCCCCTACCAGCCCAAGCCTGAAGGTGGCTGCAAGACCCTCGACGAAGTCCGCAATGATGTCGGCACCATTGCCTCCATGGGCTTCAGCACACTGCGCACCTACTCGACCGACTGCCGTGGTCTTGAATTCATCGGCCAGGCCGCAGAGGAGCACAATGTTAAGATGATCATCGGCATCTTCATCAACGGTGGCGGTATCGACGCCTCGCGCCAGCAACTCAAGGACATCGTCTCCTGGGGCAAAATGTCTCTCGTCGAGATGGTCGTAGTCGGCAACGAGGCCATCTTCAACGGCTTCGTCACCGACTACGCTGCCCTCGCATCCTACATCACTGAAGTCAGGTCCACACTCGCTGGCATCGGCTACACCGGCCCCGTCACCACCACCGAGACCCTCAACATCTGGCAGAAGAAGGACGTCGCGGCTGCCCTGTGCTCTGCTGTCGACGTCGTCGGTGCCAACATCCAGCCCTTCTTCAACCCGGAACACACCGCCGCCGAGGCTGGCGACTTTGTCGCTTCCCAGATCGAGGCCGCAAGCTCCATCTGCCCCGGCAAGCAGGGCTACAACCTCGAGTGCGGCTGGCCAAGCCAGGGCACCGGAAGCAACGGTGCCGCCGTGCCTGGTGAGTCCGAGCAGCGCGACGCCATCTCCAGCATCCTCGCCAAGGCCGGTGGTAAGAGTGTCATCTTCAGCTTCGAGAACGACGTCTGGAAACACCCCGGTCCCATGGGCGTGGAACAGCACTTCGGCGTCTCAGCGAAGAACCTGTTCGGCTAAGCTGATGCTGATGAGGCTGGATGACTGGGTAGGGTTCAAGGCAGGGAGGTTTTTTGTATGTGTCTGTGCGTGCGTTTAGTGTTGAAATCCTTCTTTTGCTGTGAAAGGGGCGAGGAGAGACACACCTATTGCGTCTGCTAGGATACCATACCCGTACCGTACCATACCATGCTTAGCTGATCGCTGGCTGTGGCTGTCTTTATCGTAATGTATATTTCACATTCTTGTGTGCGTGTGCGTGTGTGTGCCTCCTATGTTGCCCTATTCTTGCCTGCCTGCCTGCCTGCCTACTTCGCTGTTATGATGACGACAACGATGATGGTGAAAGCAGACGAACGATTATCACGTTTCATCGTCTCTATATGAATATGAAATGATGTACTGATATAATATTCTGCCTTGCATGTGCATGCGCATGGTATAAACATGAACATGGCATGAACATGGCACTCACACGAGTCTATCCTGGTATCGTTGGAGATCTATAGGTTAGGTAGGTTACCAACAAAAAACAAAGAAAATACTATTGCTTCTGCTCACTTTGCTCCTCCCCCTGCTGCTGCTGCCTCGCCACCCGCGCGACTCTTCAACTTCATCCAGCCGTTTACTCCTCTCCTCTCCTTTTCTTTTTCTTTTTCTCTCGCTGTCTCCTTCGTACTCTCCCCTTCCCCTCCATCATCAACCCCGCTCACCACCCCAGCACCACCCTCCCCAACCGTCATCGCCGTCGTCGCCGTAGCCGTCGTCAACACACTCCCACCCCCCCTCCCTAACCGCCGCAGTACACCATCCTCACCTTTCCGCGCCAACGACGACGCGCCAACAACAACAGGCTCCTCCTCCACCTCCACACGCATCTCCTCCTCACGCATCTCCATCTCCCTCTTCATCTCAGCCCACTCGTCCTCTCTCAGCACCTCCCACTCCGCGCCCTGCATCTCAGCCAGCAGGGCGCTCTTGACGCCGTCGACGAGTCTGGGCGCCGGGGCAAGACGCCAGGATTTCGATGTGCCGGCGACGGGGAGGAAGGAGTGTGCTGTGCCGTGGGAGAGGTGGCCTAGGGAGGAAGAGGAGGATTTGAGCGTGGATGTGGTAGTGGGTGTGGTTGTGGTTGTGGAGGTGGAGGTTGGCGAGCGGGATAGGGGGTGCGGTTGGGCTGGTTTGCCGACTATGCGTGCGATGTCTCTGTTGAGAGGTATGGTGCTGCTAGTGGGTTGGGTGATGAGGAGGGCATACAGATTGCGGCCGAGGGGGCACATTTCCTCCCAGTTTGAGAAGTCGGCTGTTGTCAGGCCCTGCGTCTTGCATAGCCAGGCAATGTCCCAGGCGAGCAGGCAGACGGCCTCGAGGAACTTGTGGTATGCGGTCGGGTCTTCCTTGATGAGCTGGGGGAGCGGGCGGTCGACGTAGAGGGCGCGCGGTCGGGGCAGGTGTTGGTCGTGTTCGGGGAGGGAGCGCGAGGCTTCGGGGCTGTTGGATGTGGACTGGGAGGGCGTGGTACCGGGGAAGGGCACGTTGTGGCCTAGGTAGGAGTTGCTGTGGCTGAAGATGGTTGGCCGTGGGTAGTCGCGGTGTGGGACGGTGATCTCGTTGGGGAGGCGGACGGCGAGATAGTGGGAGATGCGGACGAGGAGCATGGAGATGTTGCTGAGGGAGCTGCAGAGCGGGTCGGGTTGGGCCACTGGGGAGTTGTTAGCAGTGTACATGCCTACGCAGTGTTGAACGCCTACAATGCAGGTCTCGAAGGTCGAATATCTTGTTCTGCCCAAGGTAGTACACATCTTTGACGCTGCCGTCTCTCGATCTTCGTTTGGCGTGCTTCAAGCCCATGAGCAAGGCGGCTTCTCGACACAGGTATGCTCTCGCAGCAGCAGTCCCCTCATGCTTAACGTCCCACGCACGGTTGATGCTGCTGATCTTCCTGCGCACATGCTCCATCTCCTTCTCTCGCCGCTCCGCAAGGCCATGTGTAGCTGACGCTATCTCAGATTTCTTCTTCGCTATGGCAGCCTGCTTACTGGCGCGCTGCTTCTTGAGCATCTCAATCTCTCGTCGGAGTTCCTCTGCCTTGTCAGTGATCATCTGCACACGCTCTCTTCCCTCCTCCGTCTCCGCCAGAACGCGGTCCATGTCGATTTTCTTAGCACACTCATGTCTGTCAATAATTGTTCCTCCCGTCGACGTTCCAAGCGATATCGTAGGTTCGACGGAGCTGTCCGAGCCTCGCAGTGCTGAGCCTGTAGTGCCCTTCAGCACCGCTTCGACCTGCCTTGCAAGCTTCTCTTTCTCTATCAGCACGGTTGCCTGCTCGATGCGAAGCGGATATATCGAGTTTCGCGCGCACACCACACAGGTGCAGTCGCTTGAAGTGGTAAGGGCTTTGGTGCAGATATCGCAGTCCATGTTTTGAATTAATTTCTGTCTATGCTGCTGCTGGTGCAATATCGGAGGCTCGTCCCGGTGCGTGTGAGTACGAGCGACTAGGGCCCGGTATCATGGTGGCTACGGAATAGTGAAAGGCTGGGAATTGCTACAGGCCGTGAACCACATTTAACTAATGCGCAAAGACATGTGTTAGACTTTCTGACGGTGATAGAGGGCACAAAAGGTGGCTTTTGGATGTTATACGCAGTTATTGAAAGGATGTGAGGCCTGAGGTTCTGAGGTGACGCATGACCTTGGCCGTGCTAAAAAGTGGGCCTGACTTTGCTGTCGGCGCTAACGTTATCCCCGAGCGGCTCGTGAGCAAGCTTCCGCCAGGAACGTGCTGATGAGCCAAACATTAGACATCGACTTGCACTAGATCGAAATATAGGAACCATTGGGTGCTCACACCCACAATACAATATTAGATAGCACGGCATCTGTGAAAATGGACAGCTCTGAGATTGAGAAGACCTCCCGAGCAGCCTCACCTGCTCCCACAATCCCAGCTCAGACACAACGCGAAGATGAAGACGTGATATCGACGCGTCCAAAGCGCAAGCTTGACGACATGGCAGGCTCACACGATGCCAATAGTCAACAGAACACACTTACCTTGGCTGTAAACGTCACCAAGAAACCATTGGCCCAAGCAAGCACACCATCAGCCACGCCCACGCCAGGTCAGAAACCAATACTTGAGAATCCCTTGACACCAGTCAAGACTCCATCGCACAAGCCTGCACGCTCAGTCGAGCAAGATGCTGCCGAAGACCAGGAACCGGAGGAACTTGAAGATGACTCAGATCAGTCTGACCCGGGCGAACCGATTGAACGTCTCGACTGGGCGGATCTGGAAGATCGCTTCATGACCGAGATGAGTGCCCAGCAGCAGAAAGAAGCAGATTCCCTTCGAGAGTGGAACGACCTGATGGAGGTAACATCAGATGCATACTCGAACATCGTCTCCGGGCTCACAAACGTACAGTTCTTCTCGATATGGTCTGCGGTACCGGGGACCCATGAGCTGGATCGCTGTAAGAAGCGGTACGACGAGTAGATTTGTTCATGGCATACTGTATGCTGACTTCTTACACAGACTTCGCACACGCATGTCACATGTTCAGAATTCAGAACGGCTACTTGAAGATAAGCGGGAACGCTGTAGGCTTTGATTCACTTTCCCCCATGCTCATGCTCTCTTTTGCTAATCATGGATACAGATCTGACCGTTGTGAATGCATTCCAGAAAGCGCTTGCACTCTTCAATGAATAAGCCCGTCCCGTGTAGCTTAGCTGTTTCCATCCCGGAACCCCCCTCGAACCATGCATGGACTTATCTATATGTCTTGTCCATATCACAGCAATATCCTAGGCGTGCATGTGCTACTCGTATCGCCATGCGACCTCCCAGTCGGGGATACGATAGAACCGTCACTCTTGCGCGAAACAGGATTCGCTTCCATGCTCTGAAAAACCAGCTTTGCGATAGCTGAACAGAGCAAGACTACAAAGTCTCAACCCTTGGTTGAGCGGTTGCAAGGGGCCAGAGACGAAAGTCCTTGTCAGGATCCTCTTCCGATGCCTTGATGTGTACGTTGAGGATTATATACCCATATTAGCAGCTCTATGTATGTGATTTGAGACTATGTATCAGACCACACCATGAAAGTCACATGTATCTTATTTTGTGATCGATGACCGTTATGCCTCAACATCAGTATGAACAATGCATCACAATTATCTCTCCAATCTATCTATCTTCTTCTTCTTCGAATTCTCACTTCTGCAACTGGAATTTCATAGAACAGACTACCTCTCCATGCATAGCGCGCTGATATGTGGGGTTCTATATCCAGATGAAATTTTGGGGAAACAGTTCTCCCGTGCCAAGTCTAGCTCTATAGTAGCGGGTTGGACCGATACTCGGGCACAACATTGTTCTTGGACGACTTTTCAGCCTGGTTCTCCTTCTCCATATCGGTGTTTGCTCCAGTGCCGTTAGCCGTAGGTTCCTCTGCTTGCTCTTGCTCCGCAAGCCACTTCTCCGCCTCTAGTGCCGCAATGCAACCAGATCCCGCCGACGTGACAGCCTGTCTGTACTTCTTATCCTGCACATCTCCAGCCGCAAACACGCCCTCGACACTGGTCAGCCCGGTACCAGGAGTGGTGACCAAATACCCGTCCTCGTCCATCTCGAGCTGGCCCTTGAACAGAGCAGTCGCCGGGTCGTGTCCCACGGCGTAAAACAGTCCGTTCGCCTGAATCTCCTCCTCCTTGTTCGTCTTGTTGTTGACGACTACCAGCGAGCCCATCGTCTTGCCGCCCTTGATCACCTTCGCCTGCGTGTTGTACTTGATCTCCACCTTCGGATGCGTGCTCAGCCTCCGCGCGTTCGCCTTGCTCGCACGCAGCTGGTCCCTGCGCACCAGTACGGTGACCTTGCTTGCGCGCTTGGTCAGGTAGATTGACTCCTCGACGGCACTGTCACCGCCGCCGATCACGACCAGCGGCTTGTTTCTGAATAGCGGGAGGGAGCCGTCGCAGACGGCACATGCGCTGACGCCCGCGTTCCAGAATGTCTCCTCGCCTTCGAGGTTCAGGCGCCGTGCTTTGGCGCCTGTGGCGATGATTATGGCGTCTGCTGTGTGCTCCTCCTCTTCTAGGGCCTCGTTCTCGCCCATGGGGTGTAGCCAGTAGCGGAATGGGCGCTGGGAGAGGTCGACTTTGCCGACAGTGAGGGACTCGATTTTGGTGCCGCAGGCTTCGGACTGTTTTCGCATTTCGTCCTATTCGAACATGTCGTTAGCATGGTATGGTGAGTGGGAGCGGATCTGATCTGGTGTGTGTACGTACCATGAGCTTGCCTCCTTGTATGTTCATGAAGCCTGGGAAGTTCTCGACCTCATCGGTGGTCGTCAATTGACCTCCGGCAGCGATGTCGTTGGCCATGAAACCTTCGTACATGACAGCTGTGCATAGGTCAGTCTTTGTGCATTTTCCTGTCTCTGGGTAGACCTACGGTTCAGATCAGCGCGAGCAGCATAGATGGCGGCTGTATGGCCAGCCGGGCCAGACCTATGGTATGTTAGTACCAGCATCACAAGCCATTCGTTCTTCCCATTCATTCTCTGCACATCGTATGGCGGGGCACGCGACGAACTTACCCGATGACTGCGAACAATGTTAGTATCATTCCATGTATTTTCACCTAGCGGGGCATCAACTCACTGACGAGTTTTGAGTGCATATTGCGCTTTTGTGTGACCCTGGAGGCGAAGGAAGAAGTTACAGTAGCTGATTTCTTCTGCGGAAATGAAGCTACAGCTGCGAACGGAATGCTTATGGATGCGCGGAGAGGGGTTGCAGCCCTTCGAAAGGCCGAGGAGAACAGTTTGGCGGTTTAGTGAGTAGTCTTTGGCGCGGTTAGGAAAAAAGTTGTGGATGTTGATTTTTTTCTAGACCCAAAACGATGCGAATGCGGGATGCTGGTCGGTAGCCGAGCGCAGACAGAAAAGCCCAACGTGAGATGACGTACTTTTGGATGAGGGGTTTCATGCACGATGCGAGTGTTCGTTGAGCAGAAAGCAAAAGAAGACTGCACAGGGATGGACCTGGGGTTTTGAGGACGTGGCGAGACTACGGATCAGCAACTCTGAGCTGGAAGCATCGGTAACAGTCACGCAAGCACAATTGTTGACGATAGATTGACATGTGGTTTTCGCGATGGATGATTTCTAAGGGTTTCCAGCCTGGCGGCACGGGGCGACCTAGACTCTGGCGATTCCTGCAGTCTTCGGCGGCGCTCACGGCCGATCCGAAATTAATCCAGCCATTGATTATAAGCAGACCCAGCCCAGATCCCAGGGTGCGTTTCTATCCTAGGCACAACCTCGAATCGTTCAACTCTCGTGCAGTGCCTATGATGGCATGCTGGCCTTGTGATCGTTACCGTCGGTCCCTACCAGGATGAGACAATGCTTTCACCCCTGTAGATTGATGTCCTTTCACAGTTGCGATTCTTCCCCATACCCACCCCGTTTCCTTAAACTTCGAATGCTATAGACGGTCTCATTGACTTGCGCGCGGCTTGCCTCTAGAGAACTGTGTCCGTTCGTTTCGGAGAGAGTAGCTCCTATAGCTGGATCTATCTGCCACATCTCACCCAGATCCCGCGACGACTTTCCAGTAACTATGAAATTTGAGTCCAAAGTGTATGCGCTTAGACGCTCTTTGTGGCTCGTCTCCTGCATTCCCTTGTTAGACGGTATCGGAAAGGGTGACCGAGAGACATACTTTGTCCTGTTTGAGACTGTCTGATGACACAACTATCGACTTGTCCATAACGATGAGACAGATGAGATTTCCAGGCAATGATGTAACTGCACGCCCGGACACAGTCACAATATCATTGTCGACGCTCATGATGAATGTAAGGAGTGTCGGTACGCCCTCGAGCGCAACTAGGACAAGGTACTATCATGACTATCAGTCCATCGACAGCTTCCTTCATATCCTTGAGTGATTGACTTACACGTTGCCGAGGCTCATCATATATCGACCACAAGCCAGATACAGCTATGTCCACCTCGCCATCTAATCCAGCTTCAACTACAAGGTCTCTCAGATCAAGCTGAGCCAACTTCCTTCCTGCTTTCCAGTCCCAGGCTATGAGGTGATCATCACCACCTCCAGATATCAAAACATCAGGAGTAACAAGCAAAAGCTTGCTTACAAACTCGGCATGGCCTAGGCAATAATTTTCGATTATATGAGCCTGAGGTGGGCCCCGTGAGACCCTTATATGCTCATCTCGGTCCGAAGTAAGAATGTAGTGGCGAAAGTCTCCGGTGTTGCTACTGCCCGTAGTCACAGAGAGAAGGTCTGTAAGTAGCGAAACGTGACCAAGCAATAATTGATGCTCGAACTTCAATGGCTCTTTGGCATTGGCTACTAGTGCTTGTTTGCGCTGATCCTCAAGAGCTCTGCGATTCCTGGCAGAATGGACTGTCTTCTCGGATGCAGAAGGCACAAAGGTCTTCTTGGGTTCTTCCGTGATGTTGGAGACAGAGTCGGTCACGATTCGTTCTTCGTACTGCAAAGGTATCGCGTAGACGTCGCCAAATTTGTCCCCGCATATGATAGTTCTATTATCGGGAGTCAAGCCGATTGCACACGGTCGTTTGGGCATGGAACTACCGTAAAATCAGCACGCCGAGGGACAGCTCATGATAGGGATTCAGACCGTTCGCTTAATTCAGATAATCGTCCTTCTGCATCGACTCCAAAAACGCGAATGCATTTATCCTCGCCAGTGACAGCAATCAAGTGGGCGCCATCATTCACAGCAACGAGATTAATGATTTTTGGCCGAGCGGCCAGATTCATCCCCTTTTCATCTTTTGAGCCAGGCTGCTCGTCTTCCTGTCAAAATTTAGCCCGCCATCACCTATACCTCGCTTCTTAGCAACTGTGCAGGAGGACAATGCAGATCATCTCCAAAGATTAGACTGGCTTACAGGTTCTTTTGTGTCCTCTAGTGGCCAAGTTGAAACAATGTGGCCAGTTTTGATATTCACTGTAAGTATCTGCGGACCACTAGCGGCAAACAGAATGTTACGACGAAACAAACCCCCCTCATCACTACTGGGTTGCGTGACGCCAAAGGTAGCGAGACATTGGAATGGATGGTGCATATTGCCACCAGACACAAATATTTTACTCGCAACGGAGTCGTATTTGAAAGCGTGAATGGAGGCACGTTTGAGGACGCAGGAGAATTGAGCTAGTCCTGGAACGGCTAGTGACTCGCTTGGGCGGTTCCCACATTCATATTCTTTTCGCAACTCAACGCCGAGCTTCTTGATAGAACAATCAAATTACCTCACACAACAACGAAAGACCTTAAACATCCTATAATCTCACAGAAGTTATGGGGGGCAAATCTGCAACCAAGGCTGGCTACTTTGACAAGCTCAAGGCCTTGCTCGAAGAGTACAAGAGTATCTTCATCGTCACCGTCGGTAAGTTGCAATGCGCAGACCAGCAATGCTTTACACATACTGAGCCAATGCAGACAATGTCTCATCCCAACAGATGCACGAGATCCGTCACTCCCTTCGTGGCAAGGGTGTCGTTTTGATGGGCAAGAACACCATGGTATGGTTCTTATGGACAAGACCCAACACATCAAGAGAGGTCTAATTCGATATGTGTGCAGGTCCGCCGTGCGCTCAAGGGCTTCATCGGCGATAACCCGGAGTACGAGCGTCTGTTGCCGTTCGTCAAGGGCAACGTTGGCTTCATTTTCACCAACGGAGACCTCAAGGAGACCCGTGAGCAGATTCTCGCCAACCGTGTTGCCGCCCCTGCTCGTGCTGGTGCCGTTGCTCCTGCTGATGTCTTCGTGCCCGCCGGTAACACTGGTATGGAACCCGGAAAGACCTCCTTCTTCCAAGCTCTCGGTGTTCCAACCAAGATTGCTCGTGGTACCATTGAAATTACCTCGGACTTGAAGCTCGTTGAGGCTGGTAACAAGGTCGGAGCCTCCGAGGCCACCCTTCTCAACATGTTGAACATCTCTCCGTTCACGTACGGTATGGGTATCTCCCAAATTTACGACGACGGACAGACTTTCGACTCAAGCGTGCTCGACATTGAGGAGTCCCAACTTCTCAAGACTTTCACCTCTGCGATCGCCACCATTGCCACCATCTCCCTTGCCCTCAACTACCCAACACTTCCTTCAGTTATGCACTCCGTTGTAAACTCTTACAAGAACGTTTTGGCTATTGCCGTTGGAACCGACTACTCATGGGAAGGCATTGAGGAGCTCAAGGACCGCATCGCCAACCCCGACGCATACGCATCCTCAGCTCCCGCTGCCGGTGGTGCTGCCGCTGCCGCAGACGATGCCCCGGCTGCTGAGGCCGCCAAAGAAGAGGAGGCTGAAGAGTCTGATGACGACATGGGCTTCGGTCTGTTCGACTAAACAACACTGGGAGCATCAAGATATCATCATATGTCCACGGTAATGAAGCTCTGAAGACTATGAAGAACATTGAAAATATGACAACACCAGACCTTGGAACGGTTGATACATTGACGTGACGTGAATATACTCGGTGATGACGCATTGCGCATCATTATGCTTGTCTGAGGTACGTTTACATCTCTATTCACACTTGCTCTCTTCCTCGGATGATTAATAAAACGCTTTTTAACTCTGAGTACCTCAATGAGGATCAAAAACAACAACAACACTCTAATTTTTTCATGACACCTGCCAAAATCGAAACACTGTTTATTTGCACCATCAGGGCGAATTTTGACTAATGGCAATACAGATTCCACAGTAAGATCATTGTGGCAGGCTAGATCAGGCTTCACGCTACTTTCGACTCGTACATTCTTCTCTATGTGTCTATGGTTTTTACCGTATCCATATTTACCCTTAACCACCACACCCAAGCTTTACTTACTCCTCCAATGCCCTCACACACAGCCTCGCTCTCGCGATTACCGACCCCAACATAAGCCAATGCCCAGCCATCTTCTTCGGGATATTCTCTAAAGAGCTTGGCTGCCAATGTCTTCGCAATTCCCTTGCCCCGATACTCCGGTTCAACGTGCATGCTTGACAATGATCCATCATACCCCAAGAACGCCCATGCAACAGCCTCAGAACTGTGTTCTTGCCCTGACTCCTTGGTACCGTCCGTAGTTGAATATACACTCATGCTATTCCAAATCTTCAATGTCCTATGCGTCTTCGGTATGGGACTCCGTATCCTCACAAGATCCAAGTCCTGTTCACGTACCTTCCCCCACCTCAATCCCCTCCCGAGCTCTCTCCCGTGCGGTAACCCATCGGGTACGCGAAACACGTACATATGATGCGCAAGATCACGTATCGGCGGCATAACAAGCAGCCCATACAGATGCAGAATCGTAGACGGCAGCGCAGCCACAGCGCCAAGCTTCATCACCCCCGGATTATGCACGTCGCGCAAGAAGAACGCATGCTCAGGATAATGCGACTTCATCGCCTCCGGATGCTGCTCATCCGCCGCCTTCTTCATCGCGTCGACAAGCCGCGCTGCACGCTCCACGTCTTCCAGCCGCTCGGCCGTGTGCGGGCGCCACTCGACGTTCGTCCCAACGAACTTCATCAGCGAGAGCAGCGCAGATGCGCAGGGCGTCAGCAGCGGTTCCCGCGACTCCAGCGCAGCTCTATCTAGATCTGAAACATGGGTATGACCGAGCTGTGCATCCTCCTGACCTTCCGAGACAATATCACCCGTAGGCCTGACGCCCAGCTCTCGCGCACACGCACAGCGGCCGTCAACTTCGCCGCTCAGAAACAGCCACATCTCCGTCGCGGGGCGGTGGGAGCGGTCGACGAAGGCGGCGGCGAAACATTGTGGGAGAAGGTGAGGGCGGGGAAGCTCTGCGGGTGTTGCGTGACTCGCTGCGTTCGGATCGGGTGGTGGGAACGTGGATAAGATAAGTGCATCTTCAGTCTTGAAGGAGTGGTTTAGTCTTCTGTATAGCGGGAGACTGTGAGGGAGGAATTGACGGAGGTGCGGGACGAGAGTTGCGCCGGAGGAAGGGTGGATGTAGGTTTTGGAGTGGGGCGGCATGAGGGGCAGGCAGTATGGGAGGGGAATTCTGGAAATGTATGCATGTCAACGCCGATGAATCGTGAGAAATGTACCTTGCTATATATAGGCAAAATACTAATAATTCGGAAACCTGATGACGAGGTGCATGCGAGGAAGTTTTGACCAGGGTTCAGCGGGTCGAATCTGAGTCACATATACATAGCGTCAGCCCATGGTAGAAGCGATGAGGTATTAGCACAAGTAGTCTATATTTGATAAGCAGCGCGCAGACAGCGCCTCACAAAGGGACGTGTCTCTAAAGATACTATAGAGCTCCAGCACTGCCCAGCCATGTTTTAACCATGCAGCAACGTCGAACGCCGAAGGTTGAGGAAATCGTAGCAGCCCGGATGAATAAGAAATGCTAGGCCTACAACAAGCGGATACACAAAAGTAGAGGAAGGGAATGGTATGACCCCGAAAGGAAGATGCCCCGTCTATCGCACGCGGAATGTAGCAAGAACAGAAATTCCGAGATTCTTGGAGCCTTTTGCCGTCTTGTCGCTCATATGGTCATCCTTAAGCACATATCGCGTGTTTTGTCGAGCTTGTCTAGGGAAACGTTCGATTCGTCACCTCATTCAGCCATGAATAGAAATCGTGAATCTACTGTGACGCGCACTGTACGCGTTCGCCTCCACCATGCATATCATCATCATCTTCGTCGGTCATACCACGTGAACGAGAATCCTCACGGGTCGGATCCACATCTTCCAAAGTGAAATCCTCTGTCATCGCATCGGCTGGAGGCTTGTTATCTGACTTCCTCGGGGGCAAGACGCTCTCCAAAGCTGCAATCTGTTCGCTTGACAACGGCGCGCCATCAGGACCACCTAGACGCTCAGGGAATCGAACATCGAATTGGATATAAAGGTTGCCAAAGTCATGGTGTCTGTAGGACGGCATGCCCTGGCCTGGAATCTTTTTGACGGTGCCTGAATCAGATTAGCATACCAAGTCTACTCGGTTTGACACATTTCAGCTTACCAGGTGATATGATCTCGCCAGGGATGATTTCGACCGTTAACCATCGCTCGTCGAGGTGTTCGATGTGAATGTACCCACCTGCCAAAGCAGTAAGAAGGTCTACCTCGGCATGATAGAAAAGGTCGTCCTCTTTCCTTTGGAATCTTGAGTGGGGCTTTTGCTCAATCTCGAAAACGACGTCGCCAGGTTCGACGCCGGGCATCTGATCTCCTTCGCCGCGGAACTCAATCTTCGTTCCACTGCGGACACCCTTATCAACGTGCACGTGAAGAACCTTTCTTTCAATGATCGTCTTCTTCCCGTTGCATTGCTTGCATCGGTCACGGTCACGCATCGTTTCACCTTCACCTTGGCAGTCATTGCAGACGGTCTGAAATCGTTGAACCATGGGACCCATCTGGCGCATCATGGTCTTCATACCACGGCCATCACAACCCGCACATTTCTTGACGGCTCCCTCCTTTCCACCACGACCGTCGCATTTAGGGCAAATGACTGACTTCTGAAGCGCAAGTTTCGAGACTTTCCCTTTGTAGACGTCCTCAAGGGAGACCTTATGAACGTGCGCAATCGTACGTGCCTTTTTAGGCCCTTGTTCACGCATCCCGCCTCCGAACATGTTTCCGAAGGGGCCACCACCTCCACCGCCGCCACCAAAGAAGTGTGCGAAGAGGTCTTCAGCAGCCATACCACCGCCGGGACCACCGGCGCCTCCTTCTAACCCTTCTTCACCATATTGATCGTATATTTCGCGCTTCTGTGGGTCTGAAAGAATCTCGTAAGCGTGGGATAGCTCTTTGAATTTCTCGGCAGCATCTGGGTTATCCTTGTTCTTGTCTGTACTATTGTCAATCTATGATCCTCAGGTATGAACCGTGCAACGAACCTGGGTGGTACCTCAAGGCGCCCTTCTTGTACGCCGACTTCATCTCTTGCTCTGTCGCATTTGGGCTCACCTGCGTAGAATGTAAGTTCGTTATGTCTGTCAAGATGGAGCCAGCTGTGGTAGCACTTACACCCAGAGTGGTGTAGAATTTGGTGTCTTTCACCATCTTGTCTTATGATAGACTGTTCGTTTACGTGGCGTTTGTGGAATCCAGATATGGTCGAGTTTTGGTATCCTAAGGAAGAGATGGGTCGGATATCTTATTACGAGTGTTAGCGTCCTATTCCTTATAGGCAAATGCAGATATTTGGAGCCTGTGGTAGAGACAGGTGGCAGGGAAGGTTGGTGATAGTAGTACATGCAGGCGAGGCTGAACGAAATGTAATAGTGGATCGAACTCACCGAGACGTCTCGTCGCAAACGCAGTCAGACACAAAGATATGAGCGACTGCTGCTGAACTGATCTGTGGAATGTATGGGCGAGTTGGCTTCTAAGTGGAAGACGAATGATTTAATGTATGGGTGAGGATGTCGAAGGGTCAACAGCCTGCAGGCGGCTGGCAGGGCAGAAAATTAGCGAAGAATTCCAAAGGCTTCGATGCACTTCGCCGCGGGACGGATCGCCTTGAATTTGCCGCGACAACGCAAATACGTGTGTCAAAGATGCCCCGTGAGTTTAGTAAATAGAAAACAATAACAAAAGAACACCCGAGATCATTCGAAACGGAAATGCGCACCGCTTTGACCTTGTACGCGGACTGGATGTTATCATGTTGCGCGTTTCAGGAGCAATAGTGGTGGCTAGGTAGGCTGTCCTGTTTCGGCAAGGCTAGACTCGGACTGTGGCTGCGACCTCCCGTTGATTGGTCAAATCTGGCTGCCAGTCGAATGTGGATTGTCCCGCATCTCTTTCACAGCTGGCGGCGCAAAGTTACAGTTGGCACGGTTCATCAGATATCAAGATGTCGTACGACAACGAGGAATCAAGCCCCGGCTTCATTGCAGCGCTCGTGGAGGCCAGGCAGGGTGCAGCTGAGGGCGGAGTGCCCATCGGAGCCTGCTTAGTGGCTCAAGACGGCAAGATATTGGGACGAGGACACAACATGAGGATCCAAAAGGGGAGTGCTACGCTACATGTCAGTTTCTACACTGCCAGTGCCAAAACCAAACAAAGAAGCTGACCGCTGATATCATGCAAAGGCGGAAATATCGGCCTTGGAAAATGCCGGTCGGCTACCGGGTATCGCATATAAGAATGCGACTATGTACACGACATTATCTCCATGTGACATGTGTACAGGTGCATGTATTATGTATGGCGTGAAACGAGTAGTGATAGGTGAATGCTTGCCGAATGGATTATCTTTTACGATCTAATATCGACCTGTTACCAGGTGAGAACAAAACTTTCGTTGGCGGCGAGCAATACCTCCATGCCAGAAACCGCGAAGTAGTCGTTCTACAGAATTCGGAGTGTCAAGACTTGATGACTAGATTCATCAAAGAGCACCCTGAGGAGTGGTAAGAAACCTGCTCCACACGTCTCATATGTCTTGGAACTTACAACTGGTAGGAACGAAGACATTGGCAAAGAGGGGTCTGTCGAGAGCCCTTAACAATCAAGGCTAACCAGATAACCTATGTATCTCTTGAAAATAATGTAGCAGATCATCGGGCTTGACGAAGGGTGTGATTCCTATGCCGGGTTAGTGCGTTACATGTAGGTATGGGAACCACATACCATGCCCCAAATTTGCTATCCAGCCTTGTTTGCCGCCCTCGAAGCCATGCACCATTTCTTCCACTGCCGCGGTGATAGCAGCTTTGCCACCGTAGAGGACACCTGGGTCTGCATTACCTTGAAGAACCTTATTGTACTTCTTAGCGACCTGGTAGGCCTCTGCAGGAGCATGAAGCCAGTCGAGACCAATCGTGTTGTAATTTGTCTTGCACAGATCCTCTAACGCATACCATGCGCCTTTTGCAAAAACAGTCATGGGTACGACCGGTTGACCAAGTTCAATCAAACGAGGTGGCAAATTATCGGCGATGTACGTAAGATACGGCATCGAGAAAGTCTTGAACGCCGATGGTGAAAGCTCGCCAGCCCAAGAGTCAAATACTTGGATCATCTGTGCATCTCGTGTTAGTGTTAAATATGCCCTTGATTGTTGATCACGCACCTGAGCGCCTGCAATGACTTGCTCGGCCAAGTACTCTACGCACAGTCGTGCAATCTTGTCCAAGAGCCTCTTGCTTTCTTCCGGGTACTTGTATATCCAGGTCTTCACCTGAATGAACATCTTGCTCCCGCCTCCTTCAATCATGTAGCTCATGAGCGTCCAAGGTGCACCACAAAACCCTATCAATGGCACCCTACCTTGGAGCTTCTGTCTTGTCAGGGTGATCGCCTTATACACATAATCCAGCTCTTTCTTCACATCAACGTCGCGGTCCATGACTTCGCCGTACTGTCCATCTTCCGGGCTCTTCAATGGATTAGGAAAGTGAGGTCCTTTCTTATCTACCATGACGACCTCCATTCCCATAGCCTGCGGTATAACGAGGATATCCGAGAAGATGATTGCAGCATCTACCAAGCCTGCATAACGCTCGATAGGTTGTAGAGTCAAGGTTGACGCAATCTCTGGGGACCGACAGCACTCAAAGAAGTCACGGTTGCCTTTTGCCTCATGGTATTCAGGAAGATACCGACCGGCTATAGACAGTCAGCGATATTGTTCAAAAAACCAATTTGAATTTTTCGTACCTTGTCTCATCACCCACATGGGAGGCCGCTCCACGCGCTCGCCTATACCGCATTAAACTTGTGGCGCAACGTATCGTGTTTTGCCTACAATACCTTTCGCGGTCCTGAGTATCAAGTCATTCTTCAAGGGCTCGAACTGAACTGCCATCGTTGTGAAAGTCAATGACTGATGTGTGCGAGGGCAACCGTGGCAGTTTTCTACCCATCATGGTCTTCATCCAGCATGGGCTTAAGTTCCCCGCGGTCCCGCATCCATTTAGCCACTCCCGCTCCGACTGAGCCACCGTGGCTGAGACACATCTTGTACTAAATCAGAATAGGTAGGGCTTGACCTATGCAAACAACAGCTTCGCGTCTTGATGCGTCGCGTCCGTCACTTGATACCCGAACATACAAACCTGGAGATGCTCTCAGTATCTACCGGACGTGCTGGATGCTATAATGGGCTAATCCAAGTATCGAAGAAGTCGTGTCCACGCCCGAAAAGGTTCTTGCATTTGAGACAACATGAAAATGGCCAGCGCGGCCGCTTGAGATCACCTAGAGGATCACTCCAAGCATGCTCAGGTGTTATAACCACCCGAGGGGTCAAAACCCATTCTGTTCTGAACTTGGATCTACTAGCTCGCGATGACAATGCTTCTCCTGATCAAGTTCCTACAGAAGTTGAAAAGGCATATCCTGCTGTGGTCCAGCAAGCCTCGGACAACATGCAAAAGCATCCCCAATGCGTGTTGCTGACCCGGGTCGGTGGATTCTATGAGGTTGGTTCTTCCGATGGTCTGTCTGTGGTGAAATTCCTTCTCACGTTCGAAGCTTTACTTTGACCATGCAGATACATACGGGCCTCTTTTGAATCTCAAAGTCGCACAAAAGAAGACAAAGGAGGGTCCCGTTTCCATGGTGAGCTACTTCGACTATGCTTTCATATCGATATGCTCATCACGATAGGGTAGTCAGGGTTCCCATACTATCAGCTTGAGCGCTTTTTGAAGATCCTCGTCCAAGACATGGGTAAGCATGTCGCCATCGCAGATGAATTCCCAAACGATGCAGCAAAGATGATCAAGTCTGGCGGAAATCTCTTTGATCGAAAGATCTCCCGCATCATTACCCCGGGTACTCTTATAGACGAACATTTTATGGACCCATTCCAGAGTAATTATCTTCTAAGTGTTCACGTCGACGCGGATTCCATTCATATTCAAAGTACCCCAGAAGGACTGGTAATACAAAGTTCTCTGCCGGATCGTCCTGATACTGAGTCAGCAATAGCTGGATTAGCTTGGCTAGACCTATCCAGTGGTGACTTCTTCACTCAGATGACACCGGTAACACTTCTGTCGTCGGCAATCGCCAGGATACGGCCCCGGGAGATCCTACTGGACGCTTTTCTAGAAGATCCTCGATACTCTAAGCTTGTACAACCACTCAAGGCAGAGGGCCACGTCCTTACTTTCCAAGAATCACCAACAATTGTGAAGAAGTCTGATTGGCAGAAGATGTTTAAAGAAGCTGTCGGGTCTTCGAGCTCGACCAAATTCTCCCAGCACGAAGTGGCTGCAGGTGCATCTCTCTTAGCTTATGTAAAGACTCAGTTGCAAGGTAGTCAGACACATCTCCAAGCTCCTGTACAGCACCAACTTGCCGACTTCATGAGCATAGATCGTAATAGCTTTCGGGCGTTGGAAATTAGATCAACTCAACATGATGGTACTGCTAAGGGCAGCTTATTACATGCTGTCAAAAGAACGGTAACACCTGATGGCACTCGACTCCTTGCTAGTCGTTTGAGTAAGTCCTTCGTAGATCAATCATCCATTTGCTAATTCGAGACAAAGCTGAGCCCTCCTTATCTCTTAGCGTCATCAATGAGAGACTTGATCTTGTGTCACTTCTGAAGGATCACGCCTCCATTCGAGAGACAATTACTGGATACTTGCGACTTACTTCGGACAGTCCACGACTCGCATCCAAATTCGCTTTAGGTCGTGGAGACGCCGATGATCTCATTTCATTAGCCAAGACTATTGATATTACAATAGATCTAGCGAAGTCAATTAAGGCATTTCTGGGCTCAAACGCAGTGCAAACATCGTCGTGTTCCAATGGAAATGGCTCGACACTGTCTTCTTGGAGAGATTCTCTACAAAACTTACTAAAAAGACTCTCTCTTGATGGCCCACGTGCACTTGCCACACGTATCAAAGACTCTATAGATGAGGACGGTCTCTCAAGACAACATCAGATGGAAGATGAAACGACGGAAGTGCTTGAAGCTATGGCCCAGGATGTCGTCGGAGCGCAGGCGAACGAGCTGGAGATCAAACAGCTCCCCAAAAGACTGCAGCCGAAGAAACAACAGCGAATAATCAGCAGTAGCACTTTATCCGGTAGTAGTCAAGAGCCTTTCATTATGCGTCCGGAGTAAGTTCGCATACATCTCAACATTCTAAATATTTTTCACGTCTAACGTAAACAGCTCAAGCGACGCCCTGAAGGAATTGCATGAACATCTAGATGACTTAGAGGAGCAACAAGATGATCTTCAGAATGAACTCCGTCAAACCCACGGTGAGCATAGCTGTCCTCGTACTTCATGCAGGTCTAATTATATACCAAGTCGCCTCCAGTCTCACTCTGAGATGGACACCTGGGCTGGGACACATTGCTCATGTGAAAGGGAAAGATCGGGACAAGCTCAAAGCCTTGGATAACAGACAGCCCGTCAGCACATCCAAGTCGACCAAATCTTTCTATATCACTGCTTGGACAGAGTTGGGCAAGGATATGGATGAGACGAGGTTCCGCATTAGAACGGAAGAGCAACGTGTCCTGTCAAGCCTGCGACAAGAAGTTGTGCAGAATCTTGTGAAGCTTAGAAGAAACGCTTCTGTTCTGGCTGAGCTCGATGTTTCATCCGGATTTGCGGAACTTGCTGCCGAGAAAGAATGGATAAGACCGATACTGAATGAAGGCGTATCCCACAATATCAGCGCCGGAAGACATCCCGTCGTTGAAACAGGCTTATCACGTCAAGGAAGAACCTTCACCAGCAACGACTGCACTGTCGGTGAAGACGAAAGGATATGGCTTATCACTGGACCAAACATGGCCGGCAAAAGTACTTTCCTGCGACAAAATGCACTGATCAGCATCCTTGCTCAAACTGGATCTTTTGTACCTGCCGGGAGAGCTGAAATTGGTCTTGTAGACAAGATCTTTACCCGCGTAGGCTCTGCTGATAATCTCTACCAAGATCAATCAACCTTTATGGTGGAAATGGCTGAGACAGCGGAGATCTTGAAAGAAGCCACGCCTCGATCCTTTGTCATCATGGATGAAGTCGGCCGAGGTACCACCCCTGAAGATGGTGTTGCAGTTGGGTACGCGTGCCTCGATCATCTCTACCGTATCAACCGTTGCCGAACCATCTTCGCTACCCACTTTCACACCCTGGCGGACATGACGAAAGGCTTTGACAAGCTGGGCTGTTATTGCTCAGATGTCTCAGAGCAGGAGGATGGCAGCTTTTCCTACGTCCATCGGTTGCGAGCCGGGGTGAATAGGCAGTCTCATGCTCTCAAAGTTGCGCGAGTCGCCGGAATGCCAGAAGAGGCGATCAAGACAGCAGCAAAAGTTCTTGCAGACCTGAAAGTCCCGACCACCAGCTTGTCCACCTAAATGTCGACAACTTCCTCCCCTCATTCTGTTTTGATTAGCCAGGTGTGAACATGCTGCCACTAAACCGTACAGGCAAGGACACTAGCTATATGTAGAAGCATTGTAAGATACTTGTCTTTGGATATCGACGCAACTGTAGTAATACTACTTTGCCAACCAAGAGATTATACCCCCAAAACTTGTATAGATACCAATAATTAACGCCAATGAAATGTTAATCTCTGTACTAAATAGAGCCCACCTTTCTTAACAGACTCTAAGCACAGATGAACTATAGAGACTGACTGAGTGTTATTTCACATCAGAGTATGATATAGGAGTACAGATGCTATGAGATGTGTCATCGAAGACCGAATCCAACTACATGTTCTCAAGATTGCTCCACGTATACAACTGGTTGCACAGCGCTCGCGTGCTGATCATAGAAATAACATAGAGGCTTCATAATCTTGCGTTATCTGCGCCAGGTGGTATCGGCCCCATTCCTGACGAAAAGGGAGTCATTTAGTCCATCCTTAGATTAGAGACACTCAGCATCATATCACATCCTTGCGAGGTATCGCCCTCGCTCTTCTTTGACGCAATACATAAGCATAAGAGACCTCTTCGAATTTGATTCCTACTGGTGGTCGATCGGGAAGTCCGAAATATGTTGGCGATCGAATTTGACTTGGGGCTGAATTCTCTCGGCTTGAGATCCTTTGCATTAGTATGGTTGGTCATACTCTGTCTAGCACTACAAATTGAGAGGCTACTGACCCATAGCTATTGGAATCAATCGAACTGAATGGTTTCTCTGCTGTCCGGATTGTGAGGTGGGCCTGTCCAACCGGTGCGGCTGCCTCCTATCTACGCAAGGTAGACATCTACAACGATTCGTAGCATTAACGCAAACTTCAACGACCGAAGCATCCGAACAACCCATGCTATAAATTCCAGGCCTGAACTGGACGCGGCGAGACGAGGCTGGCGTACAGGGTGAATCATGGTAGATAGATGCTTTGACGACTTCCGTTCTTGTGTGATGGACGGGCGAGATAAGCCGAGAAACGGCCAGTGCTGCATTGACTGAGATAAGAGATACAAAGTGGAGGAAGACGACAGGAGGAAAATAACAATTAGTGTATCTATGGTGACGATCGAGAGTAGTGTATTCATGTTCAGCGAGAATCGGTGGTACGTGGCTTCTTAACCTGACAAGCCTGTTCAGCAACTCGCTGTGAGCACCATCTACTCCAATTCCCATCTCCAAAACGTCATCGACCCATCCTTTCGGGTATTCAACGACAAGATCAAAATGCAAAACTGCGAACCCTGGGTGATAGCCCAGAGCACCCACAGGAAACCCCCGCCGCGATGCTGACAAGCCAAGCTAAGCGGGGATTTTGAAATTTGGGTGAGGTTGGTTGCGATCAGTAAACTGAAAATTGCCACGCCTCGCCGGGAATTGAACCCAGCATATTACATAGAGACAGCCAGTGAATCCCACAGAGTTACCACTAGACCATACAAGTGAAGGCGAAAGATACTCTGCCGAACCACTATTTGTAGGCGTAGAAGAGAGGAACCCATAGACTGGGTTGAAGGTGGGTTCGCTCTAGACAGGTCGCGCTGCTGTCGAGAATTGGGGGTGGTATTGTGCTTGAAAGTTGACTAGAGGATTTTGTCTTTGAACATAATTTCACCGATGAGACACCAAACCAAACACAATTCTCCTTGCTCTTGTGCACACAGATAGCCATAGATAGCAAATTATTCAGTAGCCACTTGGCTGCAAGATCAAAAAGAAAATCGTGCCAGTCCTGGCTATTAACGAATATATCCCGCTGTTGGGATTCAGGCTGAGATTTGACACGAAGAAAATGAGATGATAGTTTTTAAGATATTTAAAAGGGAGTTGTAAGAACAATGGAGACATGAGAACATAGCCTTACGACGTTCAGATTACGATCTTATGAAGTTCCCAGGAGGATTTTATGGGATGAGAATTATTCGCAACACGCTCTTTTCTGATCGCTTTTGTTCACATCATTTCATTGTGCCCAATAATCTCGAAACATACGCCTCAAATACAGTCGATGGCTTGTCATGAATTTTCCTTGATCTCATTGAATGCTTGCTTCTTTTTGTCGTTGATGATCTTAGCCTTCTCCCGGTTGAGTCTTTGTCTTTCCAATCTTTCTCCGCGTAGACATTTATTCACGGCTATCTTTGCGTCCGTACATGCACCTGTACATCGATAGAGGAAGCCTCGTGCATGGCACTCCTCGAGGGCGTTCATGACATCTGCGCAATCTGATTATGACGGGTCAGGTCCATGTAGTCATAAGTAATGAACGTAGTTTCGTACTTGTATTATCTTTGGTATGCAGATGGGGATGCATCTTGACTCGACATGTGGTGGTGCTTCTCCAGACGTCAATGCGATTGGGACGAAGGAAGTCCTGCTGTTCTTGATGTCAGAACCCTCGCAAGCTAGGGACGACAAGCACTAACCGTTCTAGTACTAGCCTTCTAATATCTCAACGGCCAGAGTTTTGGGAGATATTCTTGTTGCCTCTAAGAGCTGCTCAATACAGCTTTCAAAGCTACACAAAGCATATAGAATCATAAACTTCGAACGTTCTCCAATTCGGTAAGCCGTATTGATTACAACCACCTGGCTCAAGCGGAGAAGGCCTGCATCCGTATCACGAGCACATAGAGAGTTTACGTCGAATCATTCAAATGTCACAACCACAGCAGCAGCAACTGTCGACAAGACGGCAGCAAGGTATGTTCTGATACTCGTCGAAAAACATGGCTGACAGCAACAGAGCTGCAAACCCAGTACACGAATTACAAAAACACTCTTCAGCAGATAGCCCAGAAAATTGGCGACGTCGAACAAGAAACAGACGAGCACAAGTAAGTCAACTCACCTTCCCCACCTTGTATTCTACATTGTGTTCCACTTGACCTTTTCGTGGTAATGCCGCACCCCTGTCGTTTACCTTTCGATGTGTTCTCTTCGTCACTTCATTTAGCCTCTCGCCCTTATCAGTCACCTTCACGGAACAAATTGTCCAGACTGAATATCGCATGCTAGCTCTTTGACATGCTGATATAGTACATCAGACTCGTCCTGGAAACTCTGCAACCCTTGGATGGTAGCAGGAAATGCTTCCGAATGATGAATGGCGTCCTGGTAGAGCGCACTGTAGAAGAAGTGGTACCGGCTCTAAAGACCAATTCCGAAGGTCTAAAGAAGGTACTGGACGATCTCGTGAAGCAGTATTCAACGAAGCAAGAAGAGCTTGAGAAGTGGAAGGTATGTGTGCTCTCTATGAAGAATAACGAATAAATCCTCATCCCAGTACAGAAAAAGAACAATATACAGGTTGTCCAGCAGTGATTCGATCGAGAGTGTGCGCAAAAACGAACACGAAAAAAATCGTCCAGATGAGTCTCTAGACGACGCCCTGTTACTGGCCTATCTCACGACTGCGATCACATCATTTGTCTAAACTTCCTCGTCAAGCGGAAGCTCAATTTCGCCTAGCATTTCGGGCACACATAATCGACGACACGCCACCGTCATTCTGAGAACTCAACGTGGCATTAGTGGACACAATTTACAGCTTTGAGATGACGCAGGCAGCAATAGCATACACTTTGTGGTGCCCTCGCTTCGCCTTGATTGAGTCATCTTAGTGTATCATGGCGTTGGTCCCGTTGGAGATAATGACAACTCACTCCACACCCTTGATTTCTCAATCGTCCCGTTCTTCCTAGCTCGTGCACACCTCATACTCTACAACTTGTGTCAACCAGCATCCATATGTCGATGTGTGACAAATGGTCACCTATGGATCATCCTGCTACGTCATCTGCAGACAATCACGGTTAATCCTTGATACATATGAGCTTGATACTCATTCATCTACCGGAGTGCCCACCAAGAGATGCCGCAAATTGTAAATAGCAACGAATAGGACAGAATCCCGTCCCAATGGATTTTGACAAGGCTGCATGATGGCATTAAGTAGCGGGGGTGGGGGTGGAGCTCATGCACCTCTGCGCTGGCCAACGATGTTGGCAGCTTTCGACCAAGATCATCCTGGACCACCGCTGACGTGCTCGTATGACCCGGGCTTTCTGCAAGAAAAAAAACATGTCCCCCTTGGCATGAACTTGGGATTGGTGGTGTTGCCTCAGCTAGGAGAGTCAGCCAGTAGACTCCTCCATAGTCGCTTTCAAAAAGAGCCTTTCTAGCATGTGCATCATGTAGAGATCTTAGTGCACTAGTCATTGAATGCAGGGAACATATAAACAGATCAGCACCGGTCACTGAAGTTGGAGTGCGATTGTCTACTCCAATGTTGCAATACCGTTCTCGACTGATGACGATTGGTCGAACCCTGTAATTACCATGCAGGCTTTCTAAACCTCTATTGGCTTTTCATTTCGGGTGGAAGAAGGTGAGGCGTTGGGCATGAATGCTTTCTATTGCATTGATGACTAGGCTGGCCATAACAGCTGCATATATTCTCAAAACACAAAACATGCTGCGAACTACCTAGATAATAAATGATTGGCTTGTGGTCGTAAACAGAAACACGTATGCCCCCATAACCGCCTCGTGTATATCACCAATGAACGAACAGACGACGTTCAGCCGCATAGTTCGCAGAGCACAGCAGATGCGGATTGGATACAGTCGCGCTCCAACGGCTGGAAGATATATTGGAGTAACATGAAGAACGGGAGCAACACAACCCCTGTTGCTTGGTGACCCTAGGCAAGACAACCGCGAGGACACAGGTCATGTCTGAGGTGTCTCAGTCTCCCGCGTTCTCTCAGCCGCCCGGCAAGTGATTTGACTGGCTTACATTGTCGACTCCGTTGGATGAGCATGAAAACGAGAAGCGGGTGGCACATCCATAGTATTAGTAGCGCATGCAGTGTCCGTGTCGGCAATGTTGGCTATTGCCAGAAGCACTTCCAAGTAGGCAACCATGATACTATGAATGATGCTTGAGAATGATCAAGTATCACGCAGCCGTGGACGTGTAGACCATGATGTGACGTGTGCCAGCAGAACAAAGCATTATCAATTAGAAGCGATCCTTGGATAGAGGTTGGCGATCGTAGCCTTGTTGCAGCCTCAGGCTCAAGCCAACATCCCGTCTAACCCCCACCGGCCGCAAAAGCTCCCCTCCTTCTTCCGCCTTGCAGCTCCAGCCTTCAGCTCCGACCAACCCGTCGCGGTTCGTCGTTCATCCCATTGATTGTCTTCATCTTCTCACTATAATACCATCATTCGACCTAATTGCCGCCCTCTCTCACAGGCGCACAAAACATTCCGACAGGCGGAGCGCACAGTAAGTGCTTCAGTGCGCGCGCAAGACTACAGACACAACAGTCTCTCTGTGGCGCGTGTCGCCTCTTAAGCTCGTCCCAGCTATACTCCAATCTAACTCATGTCAGAAACGCGACCAACACACGCACACCTGCAGCTACACCATCTCCTTCGGCCACGTCTACTCGCAGATAGGCTATACTCATCCTCGACCAGCTCTCTGCCTCTGCTGTAAACTACTAGACCGCCTCGTAACGGATCGCAAGAGCTGTTTAGTCGTACAATCATCAATCCTTACTGCCCGCGCCGCCGTTCTGTCTGCCCTTGCACCACCTTGGCTCCATCCACATCCCTCGCGAGAGACGAATAGTCCCACTTAGGTCTCTGCATCCCTCCGCTCAGCCATCTGGGTCCTGCAGCTGCTCAATTGCAATTACATCTTAGCCTGTTTAAACATCCAGTAATACTCTCAAATCTGATTCCACGACCCACCGACTGGCCCTGTCTAATACCACACCTGCGTTACCGCGCGTCATACCCCGGTTGCCCTAACCGTCCCCAAGTCGAGGTCGCATACTCGGCCGCGGCCAAATTTCTATCTGCCTTCTGCGCGTCAGAAGAAGGAACGTCTAGAAGCAAACAGTGACGTGTTTGCCAGCGAATAGTTGACCAATTCGCCAGCTCACCGCAAGCGCACGTAGGCTTTGGTTGCCTGTAGGAGACCGAATAAACATGTCGGCTTCCCCTCCAAAAAATAAGGATGTGGAACAAGGAGCATCGCCTGACGGTTCCGAGCCGCCCATGGACAGAGACGGTCAGGACGCACAAGCACTCGGCCTTGATTTTGAAGTTAAGGAGCAGGACCGATGGCTACCAATAGCAAATGGTTTGTCTCTACTTGTGTTCCCTTGAGCAGATTCTGTGCAACTGTCCCTTTTTTCACTGCATGTCGACCGATCAATCGCCGCGCATGGTTTCAGCAAACCTATCACGGACATGTCGATGTCTGCCTGATTCTGTTTGTCTCCTGTCGAATCGGTTTCTTTCCTGCCCAGTCGATCACAGAAACGCCTCTCGTTGACTGTCGTGTCTCTATGAACGGCTGACTTGCAGGCTGTTATCATGTCATCTGCTTCTCCTTCCTCTCCTGCATCTTCCTCAAAACGCGCGTCCAAAGCAGCAGATGCAGCAGCTTCAGATGCTAACATCCGTAACTTTGCTCCAGTTGCTCGGATTATGAAATTGGCACTCCCAGACAATGCAAAAATCGCAAAGGAAGCCAAGGAGTGCATGCAAGAATGCGTGAGCGAGTTCATCTCGTTCATAACGAGCGAAGGTCGGTTCTGTTCCGTACTCCATTGACTGTAACCTGCTCATCTTTATGCAGCTTCCGAAAAGTGCCAACAAGAGAAGCGGAAAACTGTCAATGGCGAGGACATCCTCTTCGCCATGACTTCTCTTGGATTCGAGAACTATGCCGAAGCATTGAAGATCTACCTCTCTCGGTATCGCGAAGTAAGCTGCCCAAAGCCCCTCTAGTCACACTACCAGCACAATCACCGCTTCCCGTACCCAAACTCCTGCATCCCCTTGCCATCTCCTATGTCACTACCCTACAAAGACAATATCTGAACTCTTCGTATTGATTGGTGGCACGAGACCCTCCTCGCAAATCAGAACAAACCTGCCGCTCAGTTCGTCAATTCCAGTGGGCCTGCCGGGAGTGTCACTGGGTCGAGCTCTGCCAATGCCGCCTCCGCCTATGCCGCAGAACAGACTGCCGCAAGCAACAACGGCAACATACTAGGCGAGGGCCTCGAAGAAGGGCAGGATGCCAGCGCCTTCGGATACCCCGTCCAGAACGGGGGAGACGGGTTCTAAGCGCCGCGTCGGGCGCCGGTGCCGAGAATCAGGAGCCTTACGGATTTGTGGCGAAGAGTCCCGATAAGAGAAGGAATCTTACGTATGTGAAACATCCTGGGCACCGGAAATGGGGAAGGAGGATAGACATGAGGAATGAGGAAGTCGGAATCACGTGAATGGGAGGAATATCGAGGTAAACTGTCACCAACCGCAAGACGAGTCTATTGTATGATTGGGATTTCTTGTCTTGGCTCTCCTTACAATCACTGGAATGTATAGTATATGTCGGACACGCTCACAGCTGTCCGCAATAAATTTTTGCCCAAAGCTAAATCCCTTTACGTGCAACTCCTCTCAGTCGCACATACCCTATCCACCAGCTCTCATCCTCTCGCTTCATCACCGGCTCCAGTACCTCCATCATCCATTGCACCACATCTGCCCTCTTCGTCTCGTCCACGACAGCAATGTAGTCGGCGCACATGAGCTTAATCCACCCTTCCAGCCCTCCCGACCCCTCATCATTCATCTGCGTCAACTGCGTCGGTCGGCACTCGGTCTCAACCTTCTCGACCACAAACCCAGCCTCCGCCAACGCGTTCCGCATCCACACATCCGACGGGAAGAACCACGGCGACGCCGCCCGCGCATCCGCCAGCCCCACGCCATGCGCTCGCAGCGCAGCCATCGCTGTCGCATGCACCTCGGCCACATTCCCTGCGCCCCCCATCTCGAACACGAACTTGCCCCCCGGCGCAAGTAGAGCGTGGACGTTGCTGAAGAAGGCCGCGCGCGTGTCTGGGGCCGCGAGGATCCAGTGCATGGCGGCGTTGGAGAAGACTTTCGTGTATGCGCCGCGGGTGGTGGTGGTGGTGGGGTGGGCGGATATGTAGTCTGCGAGGTTGGTGCAGTCTTGGACAAGGAAGGGGATGGATGGGTACGATTTGCGGGCGGATGTGATCATGGAGGGAGAGGCGTCGAGGCCGGTGATGCGGGATGGGCTGGCGAGGGAGTGGTGGATGATGTGGGTGAGGTGGCCGTCGCCGCAGCCGATGTCGAGGATTGTGTCGTCCGGGTTTGCGTTGAGGTAGGAGAGGACTTTGGTCGTTAGTTTGGGGACAAAGGAGGCGGCTGCCGAGTAGACCTGAGTTAGGTTAGTTTGTGTTTGTTTGGTTGTTGGGATGGGGATGGAGTTGAAACAATACATCTGATGACCAGTTGTCTCTGCCGGCCTCCTCGTCAGGCTGTACATTTTGACGCTGCTTGAATGCTTCGAGCATTATGTTGATGGTTTCATAAAATTCTGACTGTCATCAAATGATTCCTTTCAAGGTATGTGTATATTGAGCCGATAGCCGATGTCGGAGGGGTAGCTGTGATGATGTAGGTAGCTACCTGCGTGTAAGGTTATCGTCTGATTATTCGGCCATGAATGCAATGCCAGATTGAACCGTAAATACTTCCTCTATCAAAGCGCTATGCCGCTCTTCGGCGTTTCATGAGTACACTCAGGGGCAAATCATCCTCATCGTAGAACTCGACGTCTTCGTCGACGCCGAAGTCGCGAAGTCGCTCACCCTCAGAATTCTTCCAGCCTTCTTCCCCACTTGCACTTCCAGCATCGCTGAGCCCATCATCTTCGCTCTGTTCCGTGTCGATCTGCTTTTCAATGCGCTGTCGGAAAGGTCGCCTGCGGCGCATATCTTCTTCTTGGCGTTGTCGAAAAGCTTGGATCCTCATTTCCTCTGGTTCTTCGTCGTGGTCTCGTATCTCTCCTATGCTAGGGGCTGGCATGGACCGAAGTACACGATCTGGGTCTGGAGGAGGCCAGCTTTTGGCAGCGTCTTCGAAGCCATTCTCCTCGAACGAAACACCATCCTTGGCCTTTGGCGTCGCAGAGAAGGGCCAGAACCAGGCAATGATCTATATCTCAGTAGTCAGTACCTTCGCTATCAAATATTGGATGATGGCACACACATTCCATGTATTCATGCCTTGAGCAATGTTCTTGAAGATGCCGATATCGTACGGAAACTCTTGTCTCACGATCCTCACTTTTGACCCATCCGGTGCTGTAAGATAGCCACCAAGGTATCTTGCTCGTCTGAGAAGGGTCTCGTGGCGCTCTATCTCCCAGCCTTCAATGGTGGTAGTGTTGATAGCAAGTGACCATACCACCCGAATAAGCAAAATGGACAAAGCGAAAAGAGTGAACGTATTGACCACGACCAAAACAAAAAGATGTGCCAGTTTGAGTGGTGATGGTCCGTAGTACTGGCATTATTAGCACTACTGCGCTGTCTGTAGGCGTCTTTGTTTCACATACACTGGGGAGGTGGCGATTTTCCCATAGAATTGCTCCCCGCTGCCATATGAAGGTCATGAGATAAGACATTGCTGCTACAGCATATACCAAGAAACGCATGAAGTGCGGAAATGTTGTAAAAGATACGCAATTCGCCGTCCACGGACAGTGGTGATCCATCTTAGGTATACATCTGAACACGTGAGCACTCTCATCTGGATTCATGGTAATGGAACGAACGCATTATATACCTTCCACATGTCTTGCAGTGGTGAGCTCGTGGGGGCTTGAAAGCTTCACACCTGCGACACCAGCGCCCTCGCAATTTTCCAGAATGCGCTTCGAGCGATGCGATATCTGAAGGTTTGGTGTCCCAGTCTTTAGGTATGCCGCCAGGGTCTGTCGCGCATGCTCGAGCGTAGGATATCAATAGACATATCAAAAGACCATTGAATATCAGTAGCTCTTCAGTATTTAGTGGACGTGGTTCCAGATATAAGAACAGTATTTGGGATGTGTACGCTAAGAAGAAGATGAGAACGAGCACGGCAGGAATCGCAAACGATCCGAGCTCAATCGCGGCCATCACAATCGCTCAGCTGTCACTCGAGACACCCAACATGTTTCATCGTTACGTGGGTTTGCGGAGTGAGAATCAAAGCTGCTTTAATTCTGCGAGCACGCAACTGCAAGAGTAAGGGATAGCAGTCAAGGTTGTCATGGATATAAGCTACGTTGCCGAAACTGGTCCAAGCGTCATCATCCATAGAAATTGGAAGGATCTTTGGACTGCAACTTCACCAGCTTCAATTTGCACTTTCATCGAAAGAATTCCAACTTTTGGTCATTCGAACTTTGGACACATGCTGTGAGACAGTCAAGATGACCAATGTGAAGGAGACACTCCTAGCAGTCGGCATTGTTGTTCCAGTAATCTTCCTTCACCTGTTGCTCGCACCATACACCAAGGTTGAAGAATCATTCAATACCCAAGCTATTCACGACATCATATATCATGGCATTCCATATTCGGATGCTTCAGGATTTTTCGAACTTAAATACGATCACACATCTTACCCTGGCTCTGTTCCACGGACTTTTGTAGGCGCATTAGTGACCGCTGGCATCACGAGACCTTGGGTTTCGTTCGTCAAAACATCGGCAGATGTTCAGACGTTAGGTCAGTCTATTTCAGGGGACAAAATTGCAAACTTTGACAAGATCAAACAGCAAGAGCTGCTATTGGATTATACAACGGTTTAGCCATTGTCGCCTTCAAGGCCGCTGTGGACGCATCGTTTGGACGACTTGCTGGGATATGGTATTTGCTACTACAAGCTAGTCAGTTTCATGTGGTGTACTATGCCTCGAGACCTTTGCCAAATATGTTTGCGTTCGGAATGAGTAAGTTCTCATAATAGTGTAGATGCTGTTGCCGTAACGGACCATAGGCACTATCGCCCTTCGCTCCCTACTTCTTGGGTACTCAACCCTAGATCGATCGGCTGCTTCCAAACAGTACAGGCTTTGTTTGTATCTGTTGACCGTTGCTGGAATTATCTTCAGAGCCGAACTTGCAGTTCTCCTCACGACTGTCACCTTATATCTAATTACTCGGAAATCGATCTCCATAAAGGATGTCATCCTGCCAGCAGGTATTGCAGGAGTAACGATGGGTCTCTTGGTGACGGTAGCTGTAGACTCATTCTTTTGGCAGCAAAGTCCGATTTGGCCCGAGCTAGCGGGATTCATCTTCAACACCATTCAAGGGCATTCCTCTGAATGGGGCGTCTCGCCTTGGTGGTTCTACTTTGGCAATTCCCTTCCCAAGATTTTACTGAATCCATTCACTTTCTTGGTTCTGATTCCTTTGGCATTGCTGAACCCGGCTCTGAGGCCACGAAGTCTCGACATCTTGCTTCCTCCGACGGCTTTCGTTGCCATTTACAGCGTGTTACCCCATAAGGAGTGGCGATTCATCATATACATCGTCCCTCTGCTGACGACTATTGCATCAGCTGGAGCCTCCTGGATTTGGATACGGCGCTCAAAGACACTTATCAATCGACTTCTTGCTCTTGCCATGATCAGCAGCGTCGTTTTGTCTTTTGTAGGCTCGACTGCAATGTTAACGATCTCGAGCTGGAACTACCCAGGAGCAATAGCTATCACCAGACTCCATGGATTGGTAGGGAGTGAGAACGCCATTATTCGAGTCCACCTGGACAATCTTTCGTGTCAGACTGGCGTTTCTCGTTTTCTCCAGAAGCGTACTGGGATCGAAAATCGTGCGATTGAATCGTCCCTCTCCAAAATCCAGAGCCAAACTGTGTGGGTGTACGATAAAACTGGTGATGAAGCTACACTTCTAAATCCTTCATTTTGGAACCAATTTGATTATGCTCTAGTCGAACGTCCAGAGAAAACTATTGGGAAGTGGGAAGTTTTAGATACCATAGATGGGTTTTCCGGTGTTCGGATTGTGAAGCCGGGGGCTCACCTATTGCGGAGAGAATGTGCACCATCCAGTCTCCTCTGTCAACCTTTACGGTCTGCTGAGAGTTTTGTTAGGGAAAAAATTACCAAGGGATGGTGGATGGATTTCAGCATGGAGCCGAAAATCCATATACTTAAGAAGCAAATAGACCAGAGCTAACTCAGTGAATAATCTGTTATTGCCTCTTCTGCATCTACATGAAGCTTACTTAACAGCGATATACGACGTGAAACAAACGCGACATCACGTGAATATAAAATGTTGTGCACGGACCTCACTGATTTCTGATTAACAGCTACCTACTACCTACTTAGTAAAGAGGCAACAGCCCACATCTCTCCCCACTACCTTATACCACCTTTCCTTCGCCTTGTCCCGCGATCATATCGATCGCAATCGGTAATCTTCAAGATGGCGAACAAAGGGCAAAATGATCTGTCCCAATTCAAGTATGCGGCCATGTCCAATTTGGTCCTCCAAGCGGACCGTCGATTCGTGTCGCGCCGGGGTGACGAAAACACTGGTGATCCGGAATCACTTGCCGGACGCATAACGATACATGACATGGGACAGCGTGGAGCGCGTGAAGATGCGCCGAAGCAAAAGGTTGACCGTGCGAACATACAAGAAGACGAAAGCATATTGCGACAGCAGAAGAAGCGAAAACGCGGTGAAGCTGAAGACCTCCGTGGTCAGCCTGTGCTGGGCCAGTCGGACTTCTTAGTTGAAGGTCTGAAATATAAACCTAGGACGCCCGCCACGCGATCTACATATGCCTTGATTACAACTATAGTGGGAAGAGCTTTGGGTGATGTACCAAACACCATGGTCATGAGCGCTGCAGACTTCGTGTTGGAAACTTTGAAAAATGAAGACATGAAAGATTTCGACAAGAAGAAAGAGGTGGATGAGGTTCTGGGTACATCACTGACCTCAAAAGAGTTCAACGAGCTCGTGAACTTAGGAAAGAAGATTACAGACTATGATGCGCAAGACGATGATGATGAAGATGCTGTAGGAGAGGCTCCAACAGCTGGCCCTGGTGCGGATGGGACAGACACAAAGGCCCAGGACGCTCAAGACGAGGACATCAAATTTGACCAAAGGAATGGTGTCGCAGTCGTCTTTGGTGACGAGGACGACGAAGATGGACAGACATTCGAGGTCAGGGATGGTGATAGCTCAGATGAGGATGCAGAAGAGGACGAAGCTACCGGACAAGATATACAGGCTGATGGCCTCCACGCGGACGAGGATGGTGATATTGTGTTCAATGTCAAAGCTAGCGACGATGACACAACGACGAAGCTGGGTAAAGGTCTCATACCCGCACATGAGATCGATGCGTACTGGCTACAACGTCAGATCGGTCAAATATATCAGGACGCCCATGAACAGCAGGAGAAGACTCGAGAAGCACTTCAGATTATGTCTGGCGATGCCGACGAGGAAGAGGGAGAGAAGTCATTAAGAGAAATTGAAAATGATCTTATGGAATTGTTTGACTATGAGCATGACGACTTTGTCGGCAAACTCGTTCTGAACAGAGACAGGATTGTTTGGATCACACGATGGCAACGAGCCGCTGGAGATGGCGATTCCCGGACGGCAGTTGAACGAGAGATGGTCGCGGCAGGGCATCGCGCCATCTTGAACGAGCTCAGAAGTAGAGACGAACAGGCGGTGGCAAAAAGTACTGCAGCGCCGAAGGGTCTGAAATTAGACCTCATGGATATCGATGTTCCATCACAAGATACCAAGATGGACGATGACCCAGCGCCACAAGTCTCGATAGACGACCTCCAGCCCCAAAAACTGATCGATCTGCAAAATCTGGTCTTCGAACAGGGTAACCATCTCAACACGAACCCAAGAATCACCCTACCTCAAGGCTCAGTGGAGCGCAAACACAAAGGTTACAGCGAGTACATTGTCCCGCCGCCTAAGCGTAAACGCGATGCAAATGAAGTGAGAAACATCCCGACATCTGACCTCCCTGATTGGGCGAGAGTGGGCTTCGGCTCTTCAAAAGAACTCAATCGCATCCAGACACGTTGCTATCCCACGGCTTTCAACGACGACGGAAACATGCTGATTTGTGCACCAACTGGGTCCGGCAAAACTAATGTCGCCATGCTGACCATGCTAAGGGAGATTGGAAAGAATCGTAACCCTGAAACTGGCGAAATAGCCTTGGATAATTTCAAGATTGTATATATCGCTCCTCTGAAAGCTCTTGTGCAGGAGCAAGTAGGGAACTTTGGCAAGCGTCTGGAACCTTACGGCATAAGGGTATCTGAACTCACTGGAGATCGGCAATTGACCAAAGCCCAAATCGCAGAGACACAGGTCATTGTAACGACGCCTGAGAAGTGGGACGTCATCACCCGCAAAGCAACTGACACGAGCTACACCAATCTGGTCCGCCTCATATGTATCGATGAAATCCATCTTCTCCATGACGACCGTGGACCCGTGCTCGAAAGTATCGTTAGCCGTACCATTCGCCGGATGGAGCAAACAGGGCACCCAGTTCGCCTCGTCGGTCTCAGTGCTACTCTTCCGAATTACAAAGATGTTGCGAACTTTCTCCGAGTCGACCCAAACAAAGGCATGTTTCATTTCGACGGTACTTTCAGACCTTGTCCCTTGGGTCAAGAGTTTGTTGGTGTAGCAGACAGAAGTCCGATCAAGCAGCTGCGGACGATGAATGAAGTGTGCTACAACAAGATTCTAGATCAGACCGCTCAGAATTACCAGACTCTCGTCTTTGTTCATTCACGAAAAGAGACAGCCAAAACAGCCAAGTATATTCGTGATAAGGCCTTGGAAATGGAGACGATAGGTCAAATCATGCGTACAGACGCGGGGAGCTCGGAGATACTTAGGTCGGAGTCGGAATCAGTCCAGAACCCAGATCTGAAAGACGTCATGCAATATGGTTTCGGTATCCATCATGCTGGAATGAGCAGATCCGACCGAAATAAGGTCGAAGAGCTTTTCGCAGATGGACATCTTCAAGTGCTGGTTTGTACAGCGACCCTGGCTTGGGGTGTCAATTTACCGGCGCATACAGTCATCATCAAGGGGACCACAATTTATTCACCCGAGAAAGGATCATGGGTGGAGCTTAGCCCGCAAGACGTTCTTCAGATGCTCGGGCGAGCTGGGCGGCCTCAGTACGACAGCTTCGGTCTTGGTATCATTATCACCACGCAGGGCGAAATCCAGTACTATATCTCGCTCATGAACCAGCAGCTTCCGATCGAGTCTCAATTCATGAGCAAGCTGGCTGATAACCTTAACGCTGAGATCGTTCTAGGCAGTATTCGCAATAGAAAAGAAGCTGTGGAATGGCTAGGCTATACATACCTGTTTGTTCGTATGCTCCGGTCGCCTGGTCTCTATGGTGTTGGTGCCGACTACGAGAATGACGACTTCTTGCTCCAAATCCGAGTCGATCTTGTTCACTCAGCAGCTACAGTTCTTGAGAAATGTGGTCTCGTCAAGTACGAGAAAAAGTCCGGAAAGCTGACACCAACTGAACTCGGACGAATCGCTTCCCACTACTACATCACTCATAACTCTATGCATACTTATAACCAACACATCCAACCATCCATCTCGACTATCGAGCTATTCCGCGTATTCGCTCTTAGCGAAGAATTCAAGTACATTCCAGTCCGCCAGGAGGAGAAATTGGAGCTTGCGCAACTTCTTAGCAAAGTGCCAATTCCGATCAAAGAGGGTATAGAAGAACCTCAAGCCAAGATCAATGTGCTTTTACAAGCCTATATTTCGAGGCTGAAGTTTGAAGGTCTGGCGCTCATGGCAGATCTTGTCTATGTGACTCAGTCCGCTGGTCGTATTCTTCGAGCGATCTTCGAAATCTCGCTAAAGAAAGGCTGGTCTTCCGTCACGAAGCTTACTCTCGACCTTTGTAAAATGGCTGAAAAGAGGATGTGGCCGACTATGTCTCCACTCAGACAATTCCCAAATGCACCACGGGACATTGTTAGCAAAGCCGAACGTCTCGAAGTTCCCTTTAGTGCATTCTTTGACCTTGACCCACCACGTATGGGAGAGCTTCTTGGAATGCCGAGACATGGAAAGGTTGCCTGTGACCTAATGGCCAAGTTTCCCAGGTTATCCATTACTGCACAAGCCCAGCCGATGACAAGATCGATGTTACGAGTCGACTTGACGCTAACGCCAAACTTTATTTGGGACAATGAGGTTCATGGAGCTGCTGAAGGGTTCTGGATCCTCGTGGAGGACGTCGACGGCGAGGAGATTTTATTCCACGACCAGTTTCTGCTGCGGCGAGAGTTCTCAGGCCCGGAAGATGAGCACCTAGTGGAATTCACCGTTCCGGTTACGGAGCCCATGCAACCACATATCTTCATCACTGTCTTATCGGATCGATGGATGAATTCTGAATCTAAGATTGCTGTCTCGTTTCAAAAGCTTATCTTGCCAGGAAAGTTTCCTGCTCCCACGCCCCTCCTGGATCTACAGCCTCTGACCCTTTCGGCGTTCAAGGACCCAGAGTACCAGTCTCTCTTCGAAGGTTTTAATAAGTTTAACAAAGTACAAACGCAGACCTTCAATTCTTTATTCAATACAGATGACAGTGTCTTCATTGGTGCTGCTACAGGTATTGGCAAGACTGTATGTGCGGAGTTCGCGATCTTGCGGCACTGGTCACGTAAAAGTGATCGTCGTGCAGTCTATATCGCCCCTAATCAAGAGCAAATCGACTCGCGTTTCCAGGACTGGAAGAAACGTTTGTCTGGCATTAAGGGTGGGAAAGAGATCGTAAAGCTCTCTGGCGACATGAATACCGACTTGAAAATACTCGAAAGAGGGAATCTCGTCCTTGCCACACCTCTCCAATGGGACTCTATCTCAAGGCAATGGCAGCGCCGAAAGAATGTGCAAAATGTCGGACTCTTCATCGCTGACGATGTGCACATGATTGGAGGCCATGGAGGCTTCATCTACGAGATGATTGTCTCGCGTATGCATGCGATGTCGTTGCAACTCGAGTCCGAACTCAGAATCATCGGCTTAAGCGTCTCCCTCTCAGACGCACGGGATATCGGAGAGTGGATTGGTGCCAGCAAACATACAATCTTCAACTTCAGCCCACACGTTCGGGCAGTGCCGTTGGAGCTACACATACAAAGCTTCACGATACCACATTTCCCTTCTTTGATGCTGGCAATGGCAAGGCCCGTATACCAATCAATCCTGCAGCTTTCACCGGATAAGCCAGCTATCGTCTTCGTTCCGAACCGAAAGCAGGCGCGCAATAGCTCATTAGACCTTCTTGCGCAATGTGTCGCAGACGATAATGTGGGAGATGACCCCTTCTTACATACAACCATCGAAGAACTCAATCCATTACTTGCTAAGATTAGTGAGCGAGCATTGGCCGAGTCGCTAACGCATGGCATCGGTTACTACCACGAAGCCTTGAGTTCATTTGATAAGAGAGCAGTCGAGCATCTCTTTAAAATTGGCGCCATCCAAGTCATGGTCGTGTCAAGAGACTCTTGCTGGGAGATTAATTCTACTGCTCATTTGGTGATCATCCAAGGCACTCAGTACTACGAAGGCCGTGAGCACCGTTACATCGACTATCGCATCAGCGATGTGCTCCAGATGTTTGGTAAGGCCGGAAACCCAGGCAATGTTAAAGCAGCCAAGGGTGTCCTAATGGTGCCGGCCGTAAAGCGCGACTACTACAAGAAGTTTTTGAACGAGGCTTTACCAATCGAGTCGCATCTCCCTGACAATCTTCATGACGCTTTCGTTTCTGAGATCAGCACAAACATTATATCCTCTACACAAGATGCGCTCGACTGGGCAACGTACACATTCTTCTACCGTCGCCTTCTAGCTAATCCCAGCTTTTATGGCCTCCAGGATCCCTCTAGCAACGGGCTGAGTGGTTTCCTTTCTGATATCGTGGAGTTGACGCTCAAGCAATTGGCCGAAGCAAAGATCATAGAACACGATGAAGATGAAGACACTGTGGCCCCACTCAACGCTGCTATGATTGCAGCCTACTACAACATCTCCTTCGTTACCATGCAGACCTTTCTCCTTTCCCTCACTAGCCGCACTAAGCTCAAGGGCATCCTCGAGATCATCTCGTCGGCTGTTGAGTTCGAGAACATCCAGATCCGTCGCCACGAGGACCGCATCCTTCGCCGAATATACGATCGCGTTCCAGTCAAGATGGCAGACGGAGACTTTAATACACCGCACTTCAAGGCGTTCATCTTGCTTCAAGCACACTTCTCCCGTATGCAACTCCCCGTCGACCTCGCCAAGGACCAAGAAGAAATCCTCAAGAAGGCACTCCCGCTATTGTCCGCCTGTGTCGATGTACTCTCTTCCGAAGGTCATCTGAATGCCATGAATGCCATGGAAATGTCGCAGATGACCGTACAAGCCATGTGGGACCGCGACTCTCCGCTCAAACAAATCCCCCATTTCGATGATGAAGTAATCGACGCCTGCAAAAAGTTTGGCATAAACGACATCTTCGAGTTCATGGATGCCATGGATCCAAGCGAGAACAAGGACTACGAGAAGCTTATCAAGGCCATGGGTCTAGACAAGGAGCAGCTGAGCCGCGCAGCCAACTTCACAAACGAGTACTATCCAAACGTCGAGCTCGAGTTTGAGGTTCTCGAGCCGGAGAGCATCACATCGGGCGCACCGTCCCATCTCGGCATCAAAGTCACGCGTGAGATCGAAGAGGACGAGGAACCGAAGACGGAAGTCAGCGCACCCTTCTTCCCCGTGCCGAAGACGGAGAACTGGTGGATCCTAGTAGGCGAAGAGAAGACGAAGAACCTGCTTGCGGTCAAGAGGATCACGTTTGGGCGCGAGTACAAGGGGAAGTTGGAGTATACGGTGCCGACGGCTGGCAAGCATGAGCTGACGCTGTATCTCATGAGCGACTGCTATGTCGGCATCGATCAGGCACCGACGTTTGAGGTCGACGTTGCCGAGGGAGAAGACGAGGACGAGGACGACGAGGATGAAGACGAGATGGAGGAATGAAAACCGCCACATTTTGGCATTTCGTGGGGATATTTACACGTTGGGGTCGGGTGGTGTGGTGGATGTATGAGTAATAATTAGTTGACATGTCGCGGCGCAAGATAAAAGGGCGCGCTGGCATGAAAGTAAGAAATGTTTACATAGACAATACACAGAATTGCTTTTCTGTCGACCCCTCTCTTATCTACCCTACCTCCCTTCTCGCGTTTCCACGATCACGAACAAGCCCATCTTTCTGCATCGGCGCTGAATGGACCCTTGGTCCATTCATCCGTCCGGATGGGAAGGTGCTGGCGAAACCTCCTCAGGTTCAAGAATCAGTATCCGTTTGTTTTTAAAGCTAGATATTACAATTAGTACAAAAGTGACTTTGAAAGGAAGCGTGGCAGTGTGATGGATCAGAACCTCGCCCGAGGGTGAATCTAACTGTACTGTACACGTTACCAACCCAAACATCGTTGAATATGATCGTTTGGCCAACACAGCCACGTCGCTTTGCATCGCATCGCATCGCAACATAGTTCCAAATGTGGTGCTTGATTGACCTGATGATTCTCACAATCTCCCGCTAGAAAGGAGGCAAGAAAGTGAGTAGGAATGCAAAGCAAAGCAAGGGACAGACAGATAAACAAGGAAAAGATAATAGCACCCCCGGGACCCGCACCCGATGCCCTTCAGACTATATCTATACGCGTATATGCATACGTGCATATATTACACATGTGTGTGTAACAACGCATACGGGTTCCAGATTCATCAGGCGAGTTCTGGGCCTGGTCCTTGGTTCTAATGATGTTGCGTCATGGAGTGAGTATATTGGAACGATATAGTCTAGAGGAATGGCAAATTCTGCGTGCCTTTGGTTTTGCGATAAGGATTGAGGGTTGAGAGGAGTGGTGAGTTTCTCTTCTAGTCAAAAGATGTGTAGGCTGTTAGGTGTGGGTGCGCTTTTGTCAAGGCTATAGCTATGTATGTATTAATATATGAGGTTATGCATAGTTTCACAGGGTGAGTCAGAGTAATCATCTAAGGAATTCTTGGACGTTTGGATGAGACAGTACAGGGGAAATGATTGATCATTTGTTAGTGCTATTCATTCTAGATGACGACACACTTGGATGGTAGGCCACAGGGACCGCCTTTGTCATGCTCTTTGCGCTCTTGCGGGCTAGATCCATTCTCCTGGTTGTTCGTCGCTGCTGGCGTGGAAGTGGCCCTGTCGTTACCACTGGCTGGTGGTGGTACGGGCTGCTTCTTCTGGCCATCTAGTCACGCGAAGTTAACCTTGGACACAGCCTCGTAGAAGGCCTTGCCCTGTCTCTCGGCGATCTCGAGCTCCTTGGGAGAAGGCTGGCGCTGGCCCTGAGAGCCCTGTGACGCATCGTCAGTCAATCAACGCACAAAATCTCTAGTTTCTGCGGAGGGACGAACAGCGAATGTGCCTGCTCCCCATGGAGAGCCTCCATGAAGCTCGCTCACATCACTGAGCAGATCACCAGCCACCTTGTATCCGAGCGGGACGTAGATGAGACCGTGGTGAGCCAGCGTGCTCATCGCCGCAATGGCGGTGGATTCTTGACCTCCGCCCGGGGTGCCGGAACTGACGAAGAGACCGGCGTATTTACCCCATAGAGCACCTGTGAGAATGGGATGATGGATCAGCGAATGCTAGATACATTGCCATGGCTCATGATCAGGCGTACCTTGGCTCCATAGACCGCCTGTCTTGTCCCAGAGGACCTTCCACTGGGCAGGAAAGTTTCCGTATCGTGTGGGGATGCCGAAGAGGAAGGCATCGTATTCTTTCAGGGTGTTGACGTCGGTGAGGACTGGCACATCGGAGGACTTTGCTGGGGCGTGCATCTTGCCGAGGACCTCGTCGCTGAGGGTCTCTGGGACTCTTCATGGCAGTTAGCAGTGAGTCGTTCGTGAGCTTATGAGACTCACTGGTAGACCGTTACACTGCCACCAGCAGCCTCAATACCCTTCTTCTCAGCATCAGCTAGCTGCTTGATGTGCCCATACATGGAATACTGTGACGTGCAATGTTAGCAGGGATCGATCGTAAAGATGAAGAGAATGGTCTGACGCCGCACAGGAACTGAGGACGTACGTAGACGATTGCAATCTTGGGAGCCATGGTGAATGAATGCTGTTTTCCAAATTTCAGTGGAAATGGATATAAAGTCTCGATATTGGCTGGTATGGTCAAGAATGAGATATATCAATGAACACAGCGGGATCCCTCTTTATACCTCGTCTCGGTGGGCTTGGGGTCGTACATGGCTACGCCGTCAACTTGCAAGTTCCGCGTATACCCCACAGACTTGCTGCTCATGATGCAGGAGACACGAGAAAAGAAGCACCGAGAACGAGACATAGCTAGCACAAAGCTCCAAAGAGCATCGAGCAAGTGGGGTTTAGCGGCCCAAGTTCTCCGAATCTGGCTGCTTAACCAACCATTACAAATGGCCGTCTGCCCCTCCAAATGACGTCCGAGCGCTGCTTGCGTGAGTTCATGCAGCGGGTTTGCAATGCTGAGAAACCTGAACGGATGCCTTGGTATGCCTGAGGCAGCCGCAATATGGAATCATCCTTGTTTATGCATGCGTAGACACTATCTTGACTAAATGTGGTAGAATTGGGCTACTTGTCTATCAGATATTTACAGATGCACTCCATGAAAACCTCGACTGAATAGAGAGAACCGTGTCTGGCATACTAAAGCCCCACATGTATTACTACGCACCATGCATGAATTGAGTTCTACTCATTAAACTGGACATGAATCTAAAAACGCCTGACCCTATCCTTTGGTATCTGTTAAGTATGCGAGAGTAATGGATCAACATTAATCAATCTCAGGAGACTACGCCCATGCTAAGAAGGCGTTCAGAAGCAGCGTGTTCATTCTCAGTTGTTGAAAGCGACGCTCGCGTTCAAGGAGATGGAGATGGTGCTCGCCCGCATCGCTTCCGAGAGATAGTCGATCTTGATACCATCCGAGTTGGTGATACTGTCGCCTATGATGTTGATGGGAAGCTGGAAATCGCCGTGCTTGCCATTCATGAGAATTGAAACGACAAGCGTCTGGTTCGTCTTGGCGTTTGTTGGATAGTAGTTGTCGCCTGGCCTCAGAACAAGATCGTTGATAAATGCCTGTCCGATGTACTGGTCTTCGCATGTCAAGTTGAACACAGCGTTGCCCAGTTGTAGTGTGGACACTGAGGGGTTGGGGATGTAGGCTGTGCCTCGTAGCGTAGTGCCGTCAGACTCTGGCATGATTGTGATGTTGTAGTCCTGAAGTTCAAAGCCCTTGAATCCATTGAGCCCCTTCTGAGTGACTGTCTTGTCGTAGTCGACATTAATACCGTCGAGGCCTTGTTGGTGGATAACAGTCTTCCCCTTGATTCCGTAGGAGTATGTTTCGCTTGTAACAATCAGTTTGTTGTACGCAATGAAAGCGTCCATGTCTGTAATTTCCAGGGTTTGGGTGATATTGATAGGGACAGCGCTTTGTACACTGGTCTCTGGTATGTGGAGTATACCAAAGGGCTTCTCGGGCTGGTCCTTGAGATAGAGTGACCCTTCGAATCCCTCAATTGTTGGGTGGAAAGAGCTTTTGCTGTGAGCGGTAGAGTTGATGGCAAGCTCAACACTGTTTGGCTGCGGGTTGGTCACAGCTTGAGCTTCGACAGTGAGAGTGGAATCATTTAGTTGCTGTTGTGCGATATTCGGAATACCGACATATATACTGGACATGGTATTAGACATATATTGACTAGAATAATAGGGCAACTAGCTGTGCTCGGTGATAACACTTGCATCAGGACTCGACTTACATGGGAAGCACAACAATCAAGATGATAGCAATCCACACCAACACATGTACCCACCACCATTTTGCGCAATGTCTTTTTGCCTTTTGTCCAAATGATGGTTTCTGTCCAGTTGGAGTAGCATCTGATCCTTCCCTGGAGAGATTGCTGAAACGCTCTGCTTGTGACGTGTACTTATCGTCCGCCATGGTGTCAGTGTAATGAGTCTGATAAAGAGTGAACGTATATAGAGAGGGTTCTCTGCCTATATACCAGCGAAGTATTGGACAGTCACTTCGTAGACAGAATCACGACAACCGCACGGTGTAGAATTGGGACAGACCAGCCAGTATATAAAAAGCTTTGCAACGCACGGGTAAACGCCATATTAGCACAGGCACGCAAGAGGTTAATGATGTGGATCCCGTCAATTCGGGCGGCCAGCATACTCATACTGGGACTGATCGTCAAACTTGAGTGACGTGCAAGGATAGGGGGTTGTCTGACCACCGAGCAGAATACCCTCTCACGCGCCACCACCTGGGGTGAATCTTGGTAAAATTCATTGACGTTTGCTGGTTTGTTGCATCTAGAGAGGATGATGGAGCAGTACAGATGGCGATGCGCAGCCAATCAGCGTGGCTGAGAGTGACCTGGCTGCTGGACGTAGTATGAGGTAGCATGGAATCCGAGACAAGGGACAAGCTTTACCGAATGATTCGGTGGTCATGTCCTAGTCTGTGAGTGGTTTGCCAAACGAGGTAAGCCAGGCTGCCTCCATCCACCAATGCACCCACATCCTTCCCCCCCCCTTCTCTTTGTGCAAGATACTCGGCGAGAAAATTTTGCATGTGCTCGCCCGCGAAGTTGTAAGTTGTATCATCATCACCGTCCATCAAGGTCTTGTTTGCGGCGCCCGCCACCAGATCAGACGTGGACGTCCTAGTGGCAGTTGATGATACGGCGACTAGCGACGTCTTAGCTACGGCCCGCCTCATGCTCCTCAAGCCGACTTTCTCGCCATCAGCATCAAATTGCGTCGCAGTCTTTGTAAATGGGAGAAGGTTCGGCATAGGAGATGTCTCTTCCCCAGGTTACAGATCCACTTCCTTCCCCTTTGTCGCTTTGTTCGCTTGCAACTCAATGCCCGCAATCTCCGGGCAATAGTTCCCTTAGAGTCGCTTCCTCCGCCCAATACCATGACATGTCTTTGACGGAGGTTCCCCCGCAATCCCACCTTACTCCGGACAAGGAAGTAGGCATAGGCGCGGGCCAATCTGCAGTGGCAGCTGGAGAAGACCTCTGCAGTATGATCAGCTGCCAGTCGCCAGCACTCACATTTTGATGGCAACCACGTACCTGACGCGGCCAACAATTGTCAGATAATAGGAGATTGTAGGGCCGATAGGCGAAGCGGTGACAGCGGGATTCAATCCGAATCTGGCATAAGGTTCGCTTGGACACGGCGTGTCCGTGCAGATCCATACGGTAGTCTAAGGTGTGTTTCATTCTTCGATATTATCGCAGAGCCGGGATGGCCGCCTTGCGAGATCACCTGCACACTACATTGCATAGAAATGCAGATGAATATGATGAAGTGAAAGATCTCTTTTGAGGGGGCGATTCCTACCGTTGCACACGAGACCTCGGTCCCAAGCCAGAGCGGAGAAGGGCATCGCCATCGTTCGATGCTGTAGAAAGATTATCATGTAACCCTCAATGCGACGGCAAGCTGGACCCGTTTTCTTTTCTTTTTTTGGTGTTGTTGCTGCTTCAGAGTCGAGATCTGATACGATAGCGTCGTATGTAACAACTCTCTTCTCCACTTGCGCAGCTGGAGAAGTGGAGATGGAGAAGGAAATGCGACCTGGAGTTCCGCGGGGATCCCCATGATCAAGTCTACGCCATGTCGCGCATATATGAGACCATAAAGGCCACGCTCGGCAAGCGCTGCCGGCGGTCGGGAGAGGTCCATGACTCCACTTGGGCATGGATAGATGGTTGGGTCCTTACCTGGATGCATGCTTCTGCAGTTCACCGAAGAATTTGCAATCGCGAACACACTTGCCGTCACATTGTTCTTCCGGGCCCAGGCAATAGTCTGCTCTCCCAATCACCAGTCAGTACGCGCACCCCGCAAGCATGTCATCAATAATTCCTGCGGACGACGAGGATGACTACATGTCAATGATCATACCAGATGCAAAACCGAAGAAACCTGAAACCTCTATCCAACGCCGAGCTCGAAAGCAACGCGAAAATGAAGAACGTGCGCGTCCCAAGTCCAAGACGGAAATCGAAGCAGAGAAGGAGAAGGCTCGCGAGGCTGCTCTCAATACTGCAATCGACAGCTCCAATAAAGGATTCAAGATGATGGCAAAACTAGGCTTCAGACCCGGTGATACCCTTGGGCGCTCTGAGACGGCTAGAAAAGAACCAATCAACATCAGTGTCAAAGATGACCGAGGAGGTATCGGAATGGACTCGGAGAAGAAGCGCAAGATAAGGGAGGCCGCAGAATCTGCAGAGAGGACTGCGAAAAAGGTCAAAGCCGACGAGGGAGACTACAGAGAGCGCATGCGAATGGAAAGAGAAGAGCGCAAACTCTTCGGACAGCTGAAGGGTGCCCAAAAGGTAGCTGAAAAGCTCGACATGGAACTTGAGGGACAGAACAGTGACGGTGCTGGAGACACCGAGGCGCAATCCGTGATGATACAAGATAAGCCGCTGAGACAGATCAATGTGCTATATAGGACTCTAGAGCATGACCGACGCCATAAAGAGCGCGATCGTGAACTGCGAGCTGAGCTACAAGACCGGCTTTCGAGCCTCCAAGCAGATCATGACACCGATGAGGACGAGGACGATCGCGTCGCGTTAGGCAAAACGGTCAAGACTTCACTTATCGCTGAGGACATTGACGAAGAAGACCTGGAGCTTGAGCAATTTGAGAGTCTTCCCCTCTCTGACCGTCTGCTCAAAGTTACGAGCTATCTGCGTGAGAAACACCACTATTGCTTTTGGTGCAAACATGGGTACGCCGATGACAGCATGGATGGCTGTCCCGGAACAACTGAAGATGACCATGACTGACACAGTGTCTATTCAAAATTCAAACACTATGACGACTGGGTGACTTGATGCTAACTCTGAATGTTTGCTCCGTCGCTGAATGGACGCTCTGCCGCTCAAGGTATTTTCAGGATAGACAAGTGTAGACCTCCTGGTTATTTTCCACTTCAACATTGTAAGCCATAGAACACGTTCTAGCCAGTCAGGAAATTGACGTCCTGGCACTCTACACAATAACAACAGCAATGTAAACATGTGCACAAACTCGTAGCAATGAAATTGGGTTGCACAAGTTGACTTGATGGATGCAGCTCACTGGACCATACCTGCACGTGACAACGCGTTAAACTAAAAGTGAAGTTCGACCGTGCATCGCGTGCAACCTGGAGTGCTGTGTCTAAAAGCCATTTGCACATTCTTGCTGGACGAGAAATGTCGCAGCGCTCTGATCTGTCTGTGAGTCAATTGCAATGGATCAAGAAAAATGTCGAGTTTTCGTGCCAAGTCGCGATCGAGACAGAGTCCCTAAGAGAAGACGTGGTGCGCAAAGCGAATCGACCGACGCAATACAACAAAGACTAGAGTTATATCGAAGTTTGTGGACATCAGTAGAACGTCAGCTTACGGTAAGTACGGCCTTCATTGATGCTGCGCGCGCTAATCAGAATGTTCAGGCTATCTTACAGCAAGCACATGTGGCAGCTATTGAGGAGCTCCATAAATTCATTCTGAGCGATGCGAATCAATACCGAAGCCACAATCTCATTCCAACTGGACTCATTGTCACGGATCCGAATTTGACACTACGTAGTTCCTTCTTTGATCGATTGCATCTAGACGTCAAAGAAGATCAGAAAGCGGCTTTCATCCCTTTGAGTTCCGGATCATGTCCAAATCTCAAAGCACTGTTGAGAGAAGTGAACAGGTCATCTGCTAATCTTTCCTCCGAGGATGATGCCAATGAGATGAAGAACGAGACTAGGCTGTTTGACTATGACCTAGAGGCTATCAGGCAACAGTATGCCAAGGGGGCCGCAGAGAATGTCATCATCGCATTCCAAGATAGCGAGGCTTTCGATTCTTCAGTACTTGTCCAGGCTATCGATATATTCCAGTGAGTATGTCTTGAACTTGGTATATGTAAATCTCACCCCTACGCAGCTCATGGCTAGATCGTATACCATTCGTGCTTCTCTTCGGCATTGGGACCTCCACCGATACCTTCCAAGAACGGCTCCCGGCTGCTACGCTACGAGTTCTTAAGGGAGAGAAATTTATCCTCAAGGACTCTGCAGAGACTCTTCAGGACTTATTCTTAGCCACCGTAGATGGCCCAGACGTGCGGCTTCGCCTTGGTCCTGACCTTGCGTCTCGGATGCTGAGAAATCAGGAAGAGCATGTCCAAAGCCTTGGCACATTCTGCGATTCCGTCAAAGTAAGTTCACAAAGTAAGTTTGTCTCGATGCAGATCTGTAGTACTGATCATGCAGTATGCATACATGTCCCACTTCTACGCCAATGCGGCCAGCATTGTGCTCGGCGGCGCTAAGTTCAAGGAACTACCTAAGAGTGTTTTCGAAGCCATCCGCAACCTTCCTTCGTACCGAAGGTACGTAAAGTCTTCCACAATGTCAAATAATAAGTCTCTTAATTCTTTAGATGGGCCGAACAAGAGCTCGATCAGTCGCATCCCGTGGTTGTACGGAAATCGTTAGAGTCAGACTCCTTCCTTCTTGAGATTACGAAGAAACATCTGGTCTCCTCCAATGCAGCCATAGCAAGACTTGTGGATGCTACAGCAGTCATAGCAGCTATTAGGCGGTGCAACCAACAAAGTTCCGCTGCGCACGTTGCTCGGTCTGAGTTGTACGTACGTGCGATGACAGGAGAGCTTGCCGGGGCACCACTACTGCGAGAAACAATGATGTCCGTCAGGAGAGCATCCTCGGACGTCCTTGATCTTGTCCTCACTGCCCTCCTCGAATTGGGCGAGCAATGTCCGATCAATGCAACGAGCTACAAGGCGCAACTAGAGGAACTGTCAACACAAAACCCCAATCAATCAGGTCCCCTCCGAAGCCAGCATGGTGAGACAATTCGTACTACAGTGGTGTCACAGAAGGTGCAGCTCAGCAAACACAAAGCATCTCTTACGAAGGCCGACGCAGATTACGCCGAGCTCTTGGAGTCAGTCAGTGGTGAGCTAGGGGCGTATTTTGATGAGACTCTCGTGGACCCTCGAAAGCTGTTCCTTTATGAAATACTAGTCTACGACTTGAAGTCGCCACACTTGGATGTCTTCCAGCCTCGGCCACGATTCTCATTAGAAAGAGCTTTGTACTCGCCGCATGACTATCTCAACTGTGACTGCTGTCCATCTCTCCAAAACAGGAACAACGATGATGTGTGTATGGCCCTAGGCTTTTTGATAATTATTGCTAATGGCGCGAAGAACACATTGGCTCCAACACAGCCCGCAACTTCTATTTTATACCAATTGTATCTAGAGTCCGGCTCACTGATCAATGCGAGCGACCTGTGGTCAGCCTATCATGCAATAGTGGGTGCCGACGACGATAATGATGATGATGACAACGATGAGGTATTAGCACAACATCAGTAAGTAATTTCCATGACGGATATGTCAGAGGCACGTATTAAAGCTTCCATGTAGGGCTCTGTTTCAGAGGGGTCTTGCTGAATTGAGATATCTTGGGATCATCAAGCCGACGAAAAAGAAAGCCGATCACATCGCCAAAGCTACTTGGAGAGGCCTTTAAGTTGCCTATAGCCTCCGAGCAATAACACGACCTCACAAACCACCTTACTCCCACTACGCCTCTACGATATGATCAGCGCCAATCAGCTCTTCTGCCTCGGCGCCGTGTCACACAACTCCCCGCAATTTTTGCACGTTCTCGCCTCCGTGTCCTCCTTGAACTGATTCACAGCCGCCTTGATCTGCGTTCCCAGATCCGTGCAATGGAAGGCAGCTTCATGCACGATTTCCTCGCAGCTCTGGCAATACCACCGTAAGCGATCAATCGAGTCCTTGGGCCGATGTTGCTCGATCACGATACCGACCGTGTCCGCGAAGCGAACGGGGTTGTGTGGCGTGTTGGCTGGGAGCAGGAACATCTCGCCCTCGTCGATGTAAATGTCTCTAAACTTGCCGTCGTCGACCGTCTTCAGAAGCATGCGGCCTTTGTACTGGTAGAACCACTCAGGAGTCTCGTTGATATGGTAGTCGGTACGGGCATTTGGGCCACCGACAATCTTTGGTGACGTCAGCAGGGCGGATGTCATTGGCACGAAACGGACATACCATTACAGTGACATCCTCGTTGTACACGCAATAGTTGTTGATGGGTGGCTTGAGGAGGTGGCCGTTCTCTTCTAGCCTATGATCACGATGAGCTTATGAGCAGCATACTGGACAGTCCAAGAGATAGACATACCACTTGGGCATGTTGATCGGTTTGGCGAGCATGTTCCGACGCGACGTGCAGGAGATGTATCTTCTAGGCGGATTTTGCTCGGAGAATGGAGTTTTGATATATGGCGAAGCAGCCGACGTCGATTTCGCGTGAGGGAATCCTCGATATATTGGTAGTTTCCGAGCTAGTGAGGTCGTGAAGCGTACGTCTCTCAATGATCTCATGGATAGACGGCCGGGCTCATCCAAGGCTGTTGTGAAGTAAGACCTAAATATCACTCAGTCTCATATCATGGCGTGATTGACGTATTCGAATATTTAGTTTCGGCCGGGTACATGCGCAGAGCTGCTGAGCACTCAGGCACGGGCCGTTGTTCTACTTAGTAAGGTATCGACCGCTTGGATATCGGAACACCACATGATCCAGCAACATTCAGTCTCGTGTAAACATCCGCACTACCATTTATGAGTAAGGAAGACTGCTCGACTCCATGATCCAATGGGCATAAAACGAGGTGCTTGTGTTTTCCGTCGTGGGGCTGTTCTGCCCCGCTTTTGGCACGCTACGGCGTCCCGGCTTGCGAGAGACCCTGCGCCGCAGCTCGACGGCGAGACATGCTGCGTTACGCAAGCAATCCCTCAGCTTCACATACGCACTCAACCACCTCCGCAGCCCTAGCACATATCTATACAATATGGATCACTCACACATGGACCACGGCCACATGGATCACGGCCACATGGGCCACGGCGGCATGGACATGCCATCCGACATGTGCAACATGAACGTACGGAACCACACAGCTCTCCACTCATCCATCCATCCATCGTCCAGACGCTGACCCCGGTTGTCCCAAACCATTAGATGCTCTTCACCTGGTCGACGGAGAACCTGTGCATTGTCTTCAAGCATTGGCACGTCCGCGGGACGTTCTCGCTGCTCGTCTCGCTGCTCGGCGTGGTGCTGCTGACGGCGGGCTATGAGCTTGTGCGCGACGTGTCGCGGCGCTACGAGGCGTACGAGCTGGGGATGCTACGTGTGGGGGATGGAGATAGGGCTTCGGGACTGCCGAGTAGGTACCTCCGTTCATTCTGCGCGACGGGTGTGAGAGACGGGGGAGAGGGTGGTTGAGAGGGGAGAAAGAGAGGACGACATGATGATGTGAAGTACAGTATATGCTTGCGCTGGGCGCAAGAGGCAAGAGACAAGAGTAAGGAAGACCTGCACAGGGCCATGATACCCCAGTTTCTTACGCCTGTGCATGCGCGTGGAAGCTGACGAGGACGTGTAGCGGAAACGGAAACGGAAACGAGCTCATTGCTGTGGATAGGGCGGTTTCAGTCGACGCAGAAAAGCAAGTCGATCAAGGCTTTGCTGTACGCCGTACAGGTCTTTTACTCGTTCTTCATCATGTACGTTCGCGACTGAGAGGTGTGCTCTTGGGTAGGACACTGATTGCGCTCTGCTAGGCTCCTGTTTATGACGTACAACGGCTGGGTCATGCTCGCGGTTGCGGTCGGCGCGTTTGTCGGATATATGGCTTTTGGGAATGGTCTGAACGCTACCAAGTCTGTGGCGTGCCATTGAGGGTTTTGATATCGGAGGTTTGAGGCCGGGCGTGTGAGTAGGAGGTAGTGACCGATGGAGCGGAAGAGTGTACGTCCACTGCGCAGTCTTGTAGCTCCGACAGTATGACATGGTTGAGAAGGCATGTAACTTGCGACAGGTGCACTTGAGTTTAAGATATCACGATCCTTGAGCAAGAAATCATGTTGCCTGCTACAGTCAACTGGACCACAATCTTAGACCACTACGATCATGAATCTTCTGATCCCATTAAATCCATCACCAACATGTGTCTGACTTTCTTCTCTTTAAAGCTCCACCTCAGCGGAGATATCACTTGCCAGATAGGAAAGTGAGGGAGTGAAATGGAGCTATGGGGGAAGCTCATCTGATAGCGAGCTGTACAAGACTACTACTACGCCAGCATTATTGATCGTTGGGATGACCTCGCTCACTTTCCATCTCCTACTTCACCAAGATCTTCCCCGAGACGTCTTCCCAAATGATCCTTTGTTGTAAATCTGTCTATCACAAGACCAGCTCAATTGAGGGTTCGAAAACACATAACAACAGCTTCTATCACACAGCTCCAACGTCGTAAACATCGAGATGGGCAAAAAGCGAGTTCCAGCCAGCTACGTTGTTGATGTAGATGTATGACGCCGTGGCCGGATAGCTAGTGTCGTACAAGGGCGAAGTCTCCACGGGCGACATCAGCAGAAGTTCGCAATCTATTCTCTACTCGCAGTCTTGCCCTTGCTGAACCTAACTTACAGGTCTCTAAGTCGATGAGGCAGGTACAAGAAGGCTTCTGAAACTATTCGACAAAGCGCAAGAATCAAGACGACTTGGTGCGTTCCGGGCGTGGCGATTCATGTCCCCGCGAGCCTCGGAAACTGATCCGGACAGAGGCCACTCGCTTGATACCTTTCCCGCGAAGCATGTGCTGAGGTCAGGGACGCCGGGCATGAAGATCGGACTGCACGGCTGGGTGAATCCACGGGATGTAGGAGGATATGTGCGCGGGAGTCATTCCGATTACATTCTATGGCGAGTACGACGAGTCTTGTCTTTCAGATGACGATCGATCAGCATGTGAGTCGGCGGCCTCGTGTGCTCTTCATGCACGAACGGTATGTTTGGCAATGCGGAGGAGTAGCTGTGGTGTCTTGTCTTGAAGCTGACGTGCGTAGACTCACCTAGCACATCAACAAGCATAAAGGGACTCGAGTAGGCGACGATAGAGCAGCTGTGCGACGAGTTCAAGGCCAGGTAACAAGTCGGCAGAAGGTGCTCTCGTGCCTATGTCGCCAGCGGAGGTGTCGCAAGAAGGACGATGCGTAGAGTCGTGTTCAGATAATGACCGCATAGAAGACCGGGGGTGGAGGAAGCTGGTTAGAATACCTGGAGCGCCAGCCTGTGCTGGTGTCTATGGCTTTGTTCTGTGAGTGTACTTGATATATACTATTCTCGCACTGCGTTTGTGTATACTATGCCGTTCCCTTTTCTAGACTTGTCTTCCTGCCCCCTTTTTTACCCCTACGTCCACCCATCCTACAACTACGTCCACAATAACAATACCAACCCTCCAACCCTCCCTCGCCCAGCAGCCCTCTTGCCCAGATACACATATCCAACACGCCCCAATAATGACCGGTTGAATATAGATTATATATATCTATAAGCCCCGCAGAGATATAAATATCCAGACTGACCCTTCAGGAGGATTTTGCAGCAGTGAGGGATGGACGGGGGAAGCCGTATCCTTGCATTACCTATCTACCCTACCACACACGCAACGAAACACAGAAGATGTGCTTCGTATGCACAAAGCCCTCTTCAAGGGGTTTGATAGTTGATTGATCTGTAGTAGATGATATGAAGCCTAGGTATAGGGGCAGTTGGGGAGAGAAGAGAGAAAGAGAGAGATACATAGACAGAGAAAGAGGGAGAAGGTAACAAAAAGCTTCTCCATCTAATAACAGTTTACAAGATATTAGTTTAGTAGATTATTACCCACTGGATTATTGCCTTCTTGCCTACTAAAACGCTAGAATTAGATACATATATATATAACTCATAAGTATATTTATAGAGATGAAACAAGACGGAATATAATGATAATGATAATATATTTCTTTTATTCTATGTAGGTAAGGATGAGATTCTAGGAAGGTAGTTGCAAACTAGATGGTAGGGGGTATGGAGGATGGGGGTTGTTGAGGTGGAGTTTTATAATATGGTCGTGGGAGGATAAAAGGAGGGATAAAGGGATGGATAAAGGGATTGACAAAAAGATGGATAGAAGGTAAGATAGAAGGCAAGATAGAAAGCAAGATAGAAGGCAAGACAGAAAGCAAGATAGAAAGCAAGATAGAAAGCAAGATAGAAAGCAAGATAGAAAGCAAGATAGAAAGCAAGATAGAAAGCAAGATAGAAAGCAAGACAGACGGAGACCCCCCAAACCGCAACTAGATCCACACGAAACGACTACTGATTATCAACTAACTCTTGGTATCCGATAGACAACCTATAAATGTCCAAAGATCCAAGCGCTGAGTGATGAGGTGTTTCACGCACGGTAGGAGTGACTGACTGGTGGTAGTGACCGTGGAAGTCCCCGGAACCATCCAATCCATATAATAGACATAGACACACACTATTGTATTTTTTTTTAAAAAAAAAGAGCGCAATGCAGTGGGTGGGCGTGCGTTGGGAGTTCCTCGTGTTTTGATCATCTCATTGTCGAACGGGTATGCTCTTTTACGTGGATGTTTTGGTCAGGTCCGGTTCTTCTTCAGGGACCGAGCAAGGAAGGGAGGAAATCCGATGAATGGCCTGACGAGCAGACAAGTAATTATGCATCCATCTCGCGGAGACGACATCTACAGTACCTAATTACTCAGGCTCATCAGTCTCCAGTCGCCAAGTCAGCAGCAGCAGCAGCATCCGGAGGCAGGCAGGGAGACGCGAGCAAGCAAGTCGGACCGAATACCCTCCTACGCATCCGCGCGGATCCGTCCTGAATCGAGCAGTCGAACTCGGAGAGTAATAATTAAATGGGCCACCACCCGAAAAAAAAAAAAAAGGCAGAAAAGATGATCTACACTATTTGTACTATTTCGGGATCAGGAAGCGTCTAAAGCGTCTGTGACTATTATATTTTCCCCCTTCCCCCCCTTTCCCCCTTCCCCCTTTCCCATCTCAAACCCCACGCTCCAACGACCGTGGATGATGTGATCCATATCCGGGCACTTGGGTTGCGTGGGGAAATGGATGCCAGTGACCCACCGCCAGCAAAACGACGGCGTGCTCGGTGGAGGAGACGGTAGAGTCTGGCGGAGGTCTCGCGGGGAAGAGGATCTTGGTAGCCCTATTTGCATCGTGCTCGAGTGGATACATTCAGAATGGTTTCCTCGCTACTCCGGGGCACATGGAACCGAAGGCTCGCCGAGCGCGGGTGGATATGAAACTGTAGACTTTCTGTGCTGGGAGACGTCGCCTAGCGATGAGCAAGCATATCATATGTCGGCGAGTTTGTGGTAGCATGTGCTTCAATATGTGGACAAGTGACGGATCGTCAAAGGGTTTAACGCTTTTGAATACACGGCGCGTATGCTGGACGGTCCCAAATCGGAGTGGACTCCGCGCCCGACAGGCTGTCAAGGCAATATCGCTTCCAACACGTCAAGGTCTTGGTGCTTGTAATGAGTGCGTCATTGATGGGAGTGTGCTGGACGCTCTGGCGTTGCAAGTACGGTTGTGTACTACCAGCAGAGCTGACGTGGATAGCTAAAGCAAGCATGGGTTTCTTCGAGACGATTGTCGACGATGCTGCACCCCTGCGGCTCGGGCTAATGCAAATCTATTACGATCGAGATGGGCTGATGCAAACAAGACGACAAGAAGATGCCTCCTTATGTTTGCATGGAGGGTGAGCACCATCGCGGCCACATAGTCCGCTCTCATCTCCAGCAAAGTTCATTAGAATGCCATGAGAGTGTGAAGGAGAATGTGAAGGAGAATGAGATAAGAGGCAATGTTGTATACAGTGACGGACTGATCTGTTGATTCGTTCGATTGCTTGCTTTATCTTCGGCGTTGGAGTTTGGTGCGGGGCTGGTTACAGGGCTGAACCGGTACCGCTCACCTACACTGCGTTCAATGTTGAGCACGCTTTGGGCTGGAGGTCCTACAGTGGTGTGAATCTACAATCCACAGTGCAACGTCTATATCAACGGACATGCGCTGGACGTTGGGCATCCTTGATGACTTCATGAAGCCCGGTGATCCCTCGTACTGAGAGTTGTTCCATCCACATATGACCGTCTCATTCGATATTACCACCTTGAAGACGATGGACTTGGTTTAGTGTGCTCATGAAGGCCTATAAAATGCTGCAAATGCAGCTTTCAGGTCGTGGCCGGGCTCTCTCTGAACGTAGTGTAGGGTAGGAAGGTAGCTCAGTCGGACAAATGTCGGTCACATGCAGTTCGGTCCAGGACCTTGAAGCGGGAGTTCATACGCATATCCATACAGCCCAGCCAGCCAGCCAGCCAGTCCTGTTCAATGTACTGTAAGTGGGTGGTAATTAATGGCGTTTGGGCACGCGCTCTAAGCGGCGGAGGCCAGAGTCACGACTATGCGCTTGCCGATACGTATGAGGCGCCGAAGAAGCATGGCAGAAGCTTGCCAGAATGTCAGATTGCCAGACTAGCAGAGTGGTGATAGGCCATCAGAGCTGTTGTGCCATGTCGCGAGTGCAGACTGGAGCTCGAGAATGAATGGATGTGGTGGGGGTCAGGTGGGGGATCCATCGAAGGTTGATGAATGGGATGGCCGGTTATCAACAACACCACCACCAACCCACGCCAGACTACCAAACTAATACCTTCCGTGTCATCCCAGATGCTGAATCCCGAACTCTGATCCCTATCTGAGTGGATTGAGGCCTGGACGCCTGTCATGGATATTGAGTCTAAGCGTCTGCTTACAGTATGTAGCGTCTGCTTGCGCACATAAATGATAAGGTTACCACTGCAGATGCCAATAGCTGTGCCCAACCCGACCTTCTTCTCTGGTGCCGCGTTCCCATTGAGTTTCGGCGAGATTTGGCAGAGTGATTGATGGATTTGACGGTTGAGGGGAGCTAGTCTTGTGGAGTGGCGGCTTGAAGGTTGAAGAAGGACGTCGCAAAATGATGGACTTCTTCTTCCTTTCTACGCCGCATTCTAGCGGTATCGGCTTGCCCCTACTAGGAATCCGGCTCACCAAAGAAAGCATTGCATTGAGACGTCTCGGCAGCCATTGGCAGGGCAAGATTAGCAAGCAAACCCATTCAAACGGAAGCTATGACCATGCTATGCCGCGAGAATTTCGAGGAGCAGAGGATGAGGCGAAGGAAGAGATCTCTTTAAAATCTCTGCCGTGTGCCGTAATTAGTGGGAATGGAGCCATCCATGGTTGAAGGTCGAGTTTCCAAAAATTGACGTCTGCAAAGAGACGGAGAGGCAATTTGACAAGGTAGTCTGCCCGTCCTTTATTGCCCGTAGCTCAATAATGGCCGGAGCAGGAGCTCGAGACTAATTAGTCAACAAGTGTAGGATGGTGAAGGCGACGCGTGGTAGAAGAGCAAGATCGGAGAAAAAGTCGATTTTGTTGTGTTGATTAGCAGAAGTGGGACGGGACCGCCCCGGGTGCGGTGAATATGGCTAGCTGGCTACTGATAGGATTGATGATGATGAGGGCTGATAGTAACACATATGGGATTACGACGCATTCTCTAGCCGTGGTCGTGATGGCTACCTTGGATAGTAGTCGGTCCACAGCGGTCGAGTCGAGTCGAGTCGAGCGCGGGATCACGGTACAGTGATGGCGAGAGCAGGCATGGGAGTTTTGTGATAAGCATCTAGTCGTGATGTGGCTGATCCCTGGAATGCTATGCAGACAGGCAGCGGTAACAAATTGACATTGACCATTGGCAAGGTGGATGATGGTGGTGGTCGTAAGTAGCAGCAGTAGCGACAGTAGTGGTCGTAGTAGTCGTAGTAGTAGCAGCAATGGAAGTAATCAATTAGATAGCAGGTCTGAGGTAGTGTGAGTGTAAGTGTAAGTGTCGTGTAAGTGTAATATTCCTGTTGTTCAAACATCCAAGGTTGTGGTGGACGCTACCTAATACCTAGTATTAAGCTGCAGCTCTATCTGCTGCAAGATAGCTGTCCGCCATGTTGCATAGCGCCAAACCGGTAGCTGCAGATGTCAACGCGATCCGCTATAACAACTCGCTCATATAGTAATAGCAATTGGGCAAAGTAAACGAAGCCGGACTGCATCGATCGGTGGAGCATTGATCATTCGAGACTACTGAGGTCGTAGTGTCCTGGGTACTGTATAGTCTGTATAGTCTGCATAGTCTGCATAGTCTGCTTCTTTGCACTGCAGGCACGCGGTTGAGTGTGATGAAGCTTCGAGTCGCCGCCTCGACTCTCTCCACCACGCCAGGGCCAGGGACAACGACAAAGACAGGGACAGGGCCAGCGACAGGGCTTCTTTTTGCCGCGCATGCATGGCTGACGCCGACGACCAGGGAGAGTGCAGAAGGCAGAATGCAATATGCGAAATGCAGAGCGTCGGCATCAGCTAAAACGTGGTGGCTTGCCCGTGCATAATGGCTGCTTTGATGGACCCCCCTCACAATCCAACAATCGGCACAATGAAGTCAGCGACGTCGAGGAGATGCTGTGAGTCGACATCATCAATGGATTGGCTGCACTACAATGCGCAATGAGCAATGAGCAATGGGAATTGCGCGATCTGGTTGGTGCATTATGTGTTTTTCCAATCGAGCGGCGATACTGGCAAAGCCGTTGATGCTGATGCTGGAAGGACTAATTAGTAGCAGAAATCTATTCAGTCAGAATCCACCATCAAGCGTTACAAGATGGGATGAGGAGATTTTAGTGGAGTCGGTGTGTGTGCGGAGGCGAGAAAGGCGTGGACATGGACATCCTCCATTTTCCCACACCTGATCGGGGCGCCAATTCATTATCAATAATTACCAATACCAATGCTCTCTACTTATCTAGTGGGTGTTTGGAACACATACCATAATAGTGTACTTGGTACATACTACTCATAGTACAAGGAAGCACTGTACAATAGTAACCTACAGTACAGTACCTAAGCTAAGCCCCCCCCGGTAGGAGAAGAGACCCAGACTCGTACCCATACCATACCCAAATGGCCCAATCCATACCCATAACACCCATACTCTCAGAACCCATAATTACCACCACCACCAGGACCAGGGTCGAGACGGCCAGGACAGCCGAAGCCGAATCTGCCTGGTCTCGGCTTGGGATCTCTTGGATCGCAGGCGGAATACTGGAATACTGGATACTGGAATACTATGTTCGGGCGATATGTCCATTGTTCATTCACTACACTACTACTACTGTCCACCGACTGCATCTCCACAGCCCGCAATCCACCCTTCACTCCACAGTCCACAGTCCACAGTCCACCACTAATCAGTAACTAGTAATAAAGTGAAGAATTCTACGGAATGCGCTTGTGCGTACAATTCGACTTAGCTTTGCCTTGGACCGCCTTAACCCAATCTCTCCACACTCCTTCTTCCCTGTCACGGCCCACACCGCGATCAAAACGGCCGGAACTCTTCCTTTTTCACTAATGAATGACTTGCCCACTGCTCTGAACCTCATCTCCTGATCATCTTTCTCCAGCTCAAACACTGACGACGCCCCTTGGCCGCAGTCAAACTTTCTTCTCTCTTTCCCTCTTCTGATGATATTGTTCTGAACGAACCCTTTCCGCCACAAACCGACATACAATTACACTATTACATCTAAACACCTCTCACTCACCTCGGCCGGACACGGCAGCCGCACCCCGCAATTGTCAACCTCCCATCCTACTCACTCCCACACAACCCAATAACCATCCACTCACACTCCTCGCTTCGTCCACCGACTCTTTGCTGCCCATTGCTCAAGCCTCAATCTCCTCTCGACTCTGCACTCGCTATTACCGGGACCCTGAAAGTCCTTTACCAAACACTATTCCTGTCTCGTCACTCGCTCCATCATCAACGCCTCCAACACTCTAACTTGTACCACACATCCGGTTTTCTTCCTTCACACTTCACTTGACCTCCCGCCCATTCCCTCGGACTCTCGCTCCCCTCTGCATTTCCAGCACCCACACACGCACCTTGCCATTCTCCACACACACATCCTCGACCGTAACGAGTACTCCCGGTTTCGGCAAATCCTCTCTCTCACTGTCGCGCCGCCGTTTAAGACGTTGATGTTGACGCTCGGAATCGCATGCTAGTTTGGTGGTAAAGGAGGAGGAGGGGATACTGGGTCTACAAATCACCACGAAAACTCGCGGAACCACCACTCGCCGCACCATCCGATCCACCACACTCAATCCCGCATCACAGAATGGCTGAAGTACTCTCGGCAGTTCCTGATGCTCAGTCATACTTTGCTCCCTCGCCCCTCCGCCGTTCGTCGCCCTCTCAGACTTCACTGTTCTCCAATTCTCCACGCTCATACTCTCCAAAATCACGACCGCAACCTGTCGAACACAACGACATCATATCACATTCGCTCTTATCGTCGGGTCACTCTTCGCCTCGTGTCTCTCGCTTCGATACCCCGGACGACTCGTCCGTTAGCTCAACACCCGCAAGTAGCCTGTCATTGTATACGCAAAGCGACGATTGCGATGCCGATGTTGAGGATGACGAAATCTCCTTTCCTAGCTACGACTTCCAAAGTGAGCCTTCCAAGGAAGATTACCAAGAAGAGTCTGTCGAATTGGACTCTAGTCACGTCAGCGGGCCCCCAAGTTCGGTGACACCGGATGAGCATCCGACTGCAGAGGACGATACGGCAGTTCGACCTGAACCGTCACAGCATGTCGACTATCTCTCTCATAATTGGGACGAGGAGGACATAGCTGCATCTTGGAGGCACATCGTGTCCAAGCGTAAAGTATACGGAGAGCGTTCTCGGTTGGAGAATGCATCGTGGAGAACCTGGGCAAAATCAAAGCACAATCTGAAGACTGTCTCCCCAGAGACTCTCAACTGGTAAGTTTACCTCCTTGGGCACTCGATCTTGACATATCTGACAAAAGTACCACAGGCTAAAGGACTGTGACGTAACATGGCTATATGGCCCATTGCAAACCGCGCCAAACAGAAGCTACCCATCTCAAAGTTCGGAGCCAGCGAGTCGGCTTTCTAAGAACAACTCCTTCATTGCTAAGAAGCCAATCCTGAAGAAACGAAGTGTCTCGGAGCTAATGCTGCAAAAATCATTATCGGCGTCTTCCCTGGTCAAACAAGCTGCGGCCTGCGTTCAAGCTCAGCAGAAAGCTGGTTCCTCTCTAAGAGCTCCTCGACCCGGCTTCGTTCGAGCTTGCTCTGATTTTGTGTCATCTTCATCTTCATCGAAACCTGCAAGCAGAGACGCGACTAGCTCCATATCATCCCGATCATCGTCAGGTTTGCAGACACCTGATCAAGGCGAGAAGAGACATATTCGCTTCGACGACAAAGTCGAGCAGTGTATTGCTATAGATGTCAAGGACGGCGAGTACGATGAGGAAGAAGACAACTGGCCGCCGCAAGACGACGATTCTTCCGACGATGATCTCGTCATGATGAAAGCGTCAAACAAGAAGAAAATACTGTCTAGGAATAATTCACGGAGCAGTTTCAATGGCGACACCAAGATTATTGAAAAGCTGGAACCGACTACGTTAAAGTATCGGACAGATTCTCCTGACGTCACTCAGCAGACCACTGTACATTCTTTTGGGATGTACAAATCCAGCAAAATATCCCCATCACCCTCGCAAGAGACTCTACGCCCTTCGAACTCGTCAAAGAATTTTCTTCTTCCAGAGGATGATGACGATGACGATATGGCATGGGAACCATCGAGCGCCTTCAACAACGGTGGCCCTTTAGTATCGAGGCAAGGCGGCGACCTTCGCGAGGCGGCTGGTCTTAGACGGACTGAATCAGGCATGTTCATGCCCTACGAGGATGATGAAGGTATGGATCCGGGAAACGGCATATTGGGGCGTGTGGTCGAGACTGTCAACACCGCTCGTGACATTGCCCACGTTATATGGAACGTTGGCTGGAGAAACTAATGACTCAAAAAGTCAAATTTTGTGTGAATATCAACGATGGTGGCATCTTTGTGGAGTACATCCGATGAGCTTCACTGCCCGGATTTGGCGATTTGGCGCGGCGTTCTGGATGTATGTGGTGATACCAGCATGCATATACTCTGCCGGGACGCGATATCGGGGCCTGGCGAAGAGAATCTACGACATATATCACGACCTGTCTGCGGCGATAGTTACCGCAGTCTTGCCATAATGAAAAGCTTGTAATCATTACTTCCAAGCCCCCTTGAATGTCCGTGTGCGCTTCTGTTATAGCTATGACTGTTGTGATATAGGTCGCAGATCGACGGCCACAACGTGAGAACCGTTTTTGGCACATTGGGTGGGGACGCGACCGTTCCTAGCTAGCCGGCCCTGAAACAAGGGCTTGTGCGTTTCATGCGCGTGAATGCCAAGACTGAAGCTATCTATGTGCGAGGTCCACTCCTAAACTTTCATAACTTCGCCAATGAAGAAGCCTGCCGGGCCGTGAACTAGATCGCCTTTTGGTTTCGCGAATTTAAACTATTCCCGTCTGTGCCTCTCTGTTCTTGAATCATTCTGAAAATACCTCACTTACTCCATTCTTTTATCATCATCACCATCAGCAAAGCCACCCAGCGATCGGCACTCCTCCCCACCCCCTGGCCATGGAGGGTGTCAATATCTATGAGCTCGTCGAGCGACTCGGCAGCGACGAAGAATCGGTGCGCAAAATGGCAGTCTTCAAGCTTCAATCGGCGATTGGTGACCCGTCGTTTGCAGACGTGCTCATCGCCGAAGGCGGACTTCCCAGACTACGGGCTCTTGCGCTACGCTCGACAGGAAACACCCTCGCGTACACGCTCACAGCGTTGTCCAGGATGCTAGAGCTAGACAAAGGGTGGGAGGCGGTTTCAGATGATCTAATCACACGCGTGAGTCGCCTCGTCACTCGGTCAATTGCTAGTTGTTGTGCTGATCGGAAGCTTGCTCCTAGATTGTCGAGCTCGTTGTCGCGCAACCCCTCGTAAACGTGAACCGCGGTGCCATGTCTGTCCTTGCTGCGATAGTCTCGAATCCCCACAGTCGACGTGCCTCCACGGGCTCTTCTGGGTTCCAGAGGCTCAAACCTGCCATCGATCTCCATCCACAATTCCTTCCCATGCTGGTCGAGAAGATCTCGTCGGCCGACCACGCGCTGTGTGCAAACTCCCTACAATTGATCAATTCGTTGATGAGAGATGCTGTCAGGAATGAGGCTGATACGGAGTGGCCGCGCTTCATCAAGCAACTACAAGAGCTTGGTGTGATCAAGTCCGTGTATGGGCTCATGCAGAGCTCTGCTGTGCAGGATCTGGCCCATCCACTTCTGGAATTTCAGTCCCTGACCAAGATATTACTCCGTAAATGGAGGGAGGAAGCCGTAGATCTAGAAAAGGCCGATCATCGTAGGGCGCTGCGTGGCATACACATTGCCAGTAATGCTGGGCACGCGGAAGTGCCAGACAACTCCAACGACAGTCAGAAGAACCAGACAGAGAAATGGCGAAGGCTAGGGTTCGAGACGGAAGCGCCGCAAGAAGACTTTGGCTCCACAGGCTTTCTTGGTCTCATGGACCTGACTGACTACGTCTACAAGAACGAAGATGGCTTCCAGAAGATATTGCTGGAGCAGGCAACAGAGCAAGTTGAGAGAAGGTGCCCACTTGCAAGAGCGAGCCTGTCCGTGACTGCGGTGCTGTTCGAACACTTTGAGGCCGAGAAAGCGGAGGCGGATGAGGGCCGCTACAATCTAGAATCGAGAGCCAACTTTGACAGGCTGTTCAGACCGCTCCTGTTACATTGGTCAAGGCTACATACCAGCGGCTTGAATGCGTTTCTGAGGCTATGGAAGGCCACTAGTGCAGAGGTGGAGGACTTTGACAAGATCGTAGAGCTTGTGCGGATCCTGATTGAACAGGTCGTCGGGCAGGCTCCGCGAGTGATGGAAGTCAAGGATGTTGAGGACGAGCTGGCACGCTTCGATTGCCAACGACTGAGAGAACTCCAAATGGAGCTTCTGGAGCTGACATATGAGGATGCATGGGGACATCACTTGCGGTATGTTCTGGCCTACCCATAACTCAACAGCAATCTGACAGGATCTTCAGGCAAGTACGTGAGGAGCTGAATCACGAAGCGCTACAATTTGTCAAGGAGCAGAGGATCAGATGCCTCCTGGAGGGCTCCTGGTTCCCGCAACATAGCAACTACTCATCAGACAGCGGGCCCATTACGAAGCAATACCTTCACCACAAAAGCTCTCCATCGTCATGGCGATACGTCCGACTGTCGCACAATAGGCGCTACCTCCACTATGCAGACTTCTCCGCAGCCTCCACCTTCAAGCCCCAACTCGACGCTCTTGTGGAGAAGAGTACGCTTATCCGACGCCCTAAGAAATATATGTAGTATCATCAGCTAACAATGCGTAGTCGATCTCTCCATCGTGTCGTCCGTCGTCTCCAACGTCTCCGCCTCGGCCCCAAACACCGCATCCAGCATCTCCACCATCAAGGACGCGGCCTCGCCCACGCAAGCAAGCACGACGTCTGCCAAGATTACCATCCACGGCTACATCGCGGACGGCGTCGGCGGCCAAGAAGAAGCCGTCCTGTTGCAGCTCCATCCCAAGACGCACACCCTGGCGTCCGAGTGGCTGGACGGCCTGCTCATGCTGCTGAACCAGCAACCGATCACGGCAGACACCAGCAAACTCGTCAACCTGATCGGCGGCTACGGCCTTAAGATCAGGCTGTTGAACGTCAGACATGAGGATGTCGGCCTGGAGGAGCCGGTGCTGCCGAGCCGCAAGGACCTGGACGACGACTACTACTACGACATTGGCGGCATGGACGCAGCGTGATGCGCGAGCGTAGAAGCGTGTCGAAAAGAATACCGGACTATGTCATTTTCATGCATACATGTCATGCATTGCATCGATTGACCCGCATCCCCGCGCGTGTCGAACAATTTCGACGGGGAAGAAACACGGGGATATACGCATATACTTGCCCATCCCCGTACGCTGCAGGATAGAATGCCTTTGACCTGTGTCCATCTGCGGTATCTGGAGTCATGCCTTCCTGACGGCCAGCCAGCAGATATACGTCTCGCTGCAGCTGCAGCAGCAGCAGCAATAGCCACGGGCTACCTGCCTCCCACAACCGACCACAACATCGCTAGATTAAAGACCTAGCTAGGTACGCACACATCTCCTCGCTTGGTGTTACGTTACGTCACCGCACCAGCAGTAGCAGTAGTAGGAGCAGGAGCAGAAGCAGCAAGAAGCACCAGCAGCAAGAAGCAGAAGCACAGACCGCGCACGCGTGCACCCTGCATATTCCTACTCCTACTCCCCCCTTCCTTCCCCCTTTCCGGGTCACGCGTCGAACGCCCGCCATGCACATACGCTATGCCCATGCATACATGCCATGCACATGCACATACATACGCCTTGTTTCTAATGTTTAACTTTTTTTCTCTTTTTTTTTTGGGGGGGGGGATGGTTTTGACTTGATATTGTGTGTGTGTTGTGTGTGGATGAGTGTGTGTTGGTGGGTGTGTGTGTGTGTGTGTGTGTGTGTGTGTGTGTGGGTGTGTGTGTGTGTGTGTGTGTGTGGGTGTGTGTGGGTGTGTGGATGGGTGTGTGTGGCTGTGTTGGTGTGTAGATGGGTGTGGGCATGCATGGATGTGTGTGTGGATGGGGGTATGGATATGGATGTGTGTACGCTGTTTCAATAATGTGTATTTATGTATGTATGTACGTATGTACGCATCTCAACTCCGTCTGTCCATGATGTCCATGATGGCCATGGCGACTTTTGATGTTGTTCTTTGACTGCCCCGTGGCGAGAGAACAAAGATGTCTTGCATGATATACTACACTCTGTGACGCTGTACTTGAGGACCTCTGGGCGCTGTTACGGACTATGTGATGTTTGGTATAGTGGTGATGGGGCTGTGAGGGGGGCGTGTCTTGGTTGCTTGGTTTACTGGGGCTCTGGGGTTCTGGGGCTTTTGGGTTCTGGGTTTGTGGATTTGTGGATTTCTGGGACGTGTTGAGATATGGTGGGTGCGTTGGTAGTGGTGGTGGTGTTGTTGTTGTTGTTGTTGTTGTTGTTGTTGTTGTTGTTGTTGTTGTTGTTGTTGTTGTTGTTGTTGTTGTTGTTGTTGTTGCTATCGAGCCAGCATAGTACCGATATCAATGTACAAATCCGTTCCCGTTCTCTGTTCGCAGAGCGCGAGTCGGTGGCTCGTGGGCACGTCGACATGTTGACGTGTGTTGATGTGTGCTGTTGGTTGATGTGTTTGATGTGTTTTGGATGACGGAATCAGGCTCAGGCTCAGGCTCAGGCTCAGGCTCAGGCTCAGGCTCAGACTCAGGCTCAGGTTTCGTCTCAGGCTCGGGCTCAGGTTTCGTCTCAGGCTCAAGCTACAGGCTCAGGCTCGGGCTCAGGTTTCGTCTCAGCTTCAGGAACCAGGATCAGTCGGGTATGAGGATAGTCCCGGCTATGGTCTGGCGCATGTTCCGGGGGTGAATATGGCGGCGGGAGAAAAGGGGGATGTGGGAAGACGGATAGGTAGGAGGTAGGGGGGTAGGGGGGTAGGCTGGTAGGGTAGAATGAATGAAGGAATTGAATGGTATGAAGGATGGAGATGGAGATTGAGATGGAGATGGAGATGGAGAGGAACGGTGGAGCGTACTGTAGTATATAGTAGCATAGCATAGCATAGCATACCGAAGCATACCGAAGCATACCATAACACACCAATATATTTCCCATCAGTCCATACACTCATACACTCATACCCAGAACATACACATACCTAAAAACCCAACAGCCCCAAAACACAGCACCACACACTACCCTAGGCCATCACCCATCTACCCACTACACATACAACACCCACTCACAAACACCCACACACTGTCCACAAAAAGCCAGACACCTCCCAACACCACAGAAGCACCCAGGCACAACAAGCAAAGCAGATTATACCCAGTCCCTAAAGCCACGAAAACAATAAGTAGGTAGGAGGATCTATATATATCTATATACGTGGATAGATAGCATCTACCTACAAGACATCGTAGATTCTATTAGAGAGAGATATATATATATATACTATTCAGGTAATCTATTAACTTCGATACGCTGGATACTACTATACTCTAGGGTTATACGTGGTTGAGTTAGTTGGAAGACCGTGTGCTCTTGCGTTGAACTACTGCTACTCTGGATGTATATATGTATATATGTATATGTCGTTTTGAGATTTGGGTGGGATGTGATCTACTTTTACCTTGTCTAATCTAATCTTGACTAGGCACTCGAAGAGAGAGAGAGAGAGAGAGAGAGAGAGAGAGAGAGAGAGAGAGAGAGTGAGTGAGTGAGTGAGAGAGTAGATCCTACTCCACGAAACCAAAGGAAAAAAAGCATAATACCAAGTATAAAATAAATCTTACTATTTCGACAAACTTATGATTTAGAAAACGTATGTGTATAATTATTAGCTTCTTTAAATCAGGTCTAATGTCAAAGCTTCTAACATATTTCTCTCCAAGAAAAAAAGGAAAAACGGGTTTATTAGGAGTTCGAATGCGCTTTTTTATATCATTCAACGACTAGTAGCTCGATAGAATATCTATATGTACTCTTAATAGCTTTGATACTACAAAACGGCAGTATAGACATGACTTGGATGATGGAAGTCGAAGATAGAAGACTCATGTATGGACTACTACATAAGCTACATCTATCTATTCCATCACCCAATTCATCACCCTCTTTCTTTTAGCTAGTATGTATAGCACCAATACCCATATCAATCAGCGGAACGTATTGATTCGGTTCGTTTGAATAGCTAGCTAGCTCACTATTCAGTCATATATATACCTACACAGACATGTATGGTATATAGACAGATCTATAATCGCCGCCATGGTCACGCAAAGAGCTAGCATTGAGGACTCGTTCTATCGATCTTGTTGTAGCTTACCTTGGATCTATGGCCTTCTACTCTACGGGCAGGGCATGGCTTGGGCATAACATTGGCACGCGGTATGTCGGCGTATTCGAGGCTATACATTCAAGTCCACGTGTCGACTTGTCGGTCTTCGACACGGCTGATGATGAGCAGATATGATCTGAGCCGCACGGTGCACTGCGGGCGGTGTGTTTGATAGTGGTGCCAGCCCCTTGGCTATGATATCAGTAGTGGCCATCCTATCAGTCTCATATCAGTGCCACGCCGTCGCCAAGCATTTTTACCACGTGCAGCCCGGGTGCGTCGTCGTCATGGCACTTCGTATGCCCTGTGCGATACCGACGATGCGGTGTCGTCAGTACCGTGCGGTCCGTGAAACAGCTCATGAAAGCCAGACAGACGCGTATGAGGAGGAGGAAAAGCAAAGATGAACGTATACGGGAAGATACACGAGGGGATACGATACAATGGGATGGCGAGGCGGTTTGCTGAAACGGCTAGCCCAGCGTGTATAATGCAGCTGTTATCGTGCAGGCGTTTCTGTTTCTGGTTATCGTGGGTGTCGATGGCTGGATGGATGGATGGATTGATGCATCAATCAATGGTCAGAGAAGTCCTGCGTTATGCAGATATGCTTGGATTTGTTTCCCGGGATTGCCAGCTTGGTAGCCAAGTTTTGTTTGCTGCGACGACGATGTACATAGCGTGTGACGACGAACTGGTGACATACACGGAGGGAGATCACAGTCCCGACATTCAAGTTGTGATCGTGGTGGTGGCAGCGGTGACGAAGGGTCTTTCCGTGTTGGTATTGTGGCGGTGGTGCAGACAGGGATACCTAGGGTGGGCGGTGCAGCGAGGGGAAAGGCCCCTCTGAGGTAGGTTTGAAACTTTGAGCTAGGGAGATCGACGCTGGGGTAAGCATGTGCAAAAATTCAAGTTTTGCGCGAGCCAGAGACGACCTGGAGAGTCGAGCCACGGACAAAATGGATTTTACCGTTGCGACAGGTTGAAGTTTGGGTTATAAAATTCTTTCGGGGTTGGACTCGGGAAGGTTCGTGCTGCTTTGACGTTTGGTGTCGGCACGAAAATCCCATATCATAAAAATAGATCTGGAAACAGTACCTGAAACACCCGGATGTGGAGAAGACAAAGTCTAATCTAGTCATTGCGACTCAATGTTCCACGAAGCTCTGTCTACACGACGAACGTGAAAAAGTTTGGTCCAGGCATATCTCTGCGAGGGTATCCTGGTCATGACATGTGCTGCCTTTTGCGTGTTATCTACTTCGTACCTGTGTTGCTTGGAGCCTTGGACACGTCACACGATGACGCGATGTCAGTGACGGCTTCGGTGAATCGAAGATGCAGCAGGAGTGAGTGATCTTGAAGATGCACTCGACTGTCGGGCGTTGCCGCATCATGCTATTCGCGAAGGTGAGCTTCGAGTCTGTTATCCGAAATGCCGCCCTATATGCCGACCTATATTGGCACTAATACAGTCCATAATGGCTAGCTATATTGATGCTTTGGGAGATAAGCTTGCTCGCATTGACCTGGAGAGGATGGCTGTACCATGGATTAGTCTACAAATCTGCAACGAGGACTGACCAGTGTACGATCTGCCAGATCTGAAGTGCTGATACCCTGCAGGAGGTCGTTCTTTCTTCGAGCACGACATGTGAGATCGTGTTCCCGAAACAATTGCGTAAAGGCTGTTTCCTCGAGATCACAATTTCCACGACAAAGGGAACTATTGATCCGTCTCGAGCCATGTGACACCTTCTGGAACATTGGTCGCGCGAGCTTGGTATATCAAGGTGAGTGGAATTGGTCGACATTCCGATTAGCAGATGGCATGCTACACGGCCATGTTTCGCATGGAAGTACAGACATTGAGTAGGCGTTTCCTTAAAAAGTCTGGATATCGTGAAAGGAGGGCTATCCTTCTAAGTCCTGGCTACAAGCGGGATACGAAGTGGGTCTACTGCCCGGATCCCGTTCGTCGCGAGTTGTAGCAAGTTTGGAACGATCCTTTCAGCAAGCACTGCTATTTTAGCTGCAAGTCTGTAATACTGATGATGGACTAGAACGATAAGAGGCGTGAAGAATCGACACGTTATGATAGTGTGCGGCAACGGCGGCAAGTTGGTTAGATCAAGTGGCGAATGAAGATCTATAGTGAAAAGGAATATGTTTGTTTGGGTGTGTTATGACTCGTAGCCAGGTTGGATGTTCCAGATGTAGGATGCGAATGCGAATGAATAATTGGCACACGGAGCCTCGGTGCCGAAAGAGGGCTGAGGGCCGGCATTGATGTCTTTACAATTCTGGAAGCGTGCCACGACACGATCAGTAGATGATTGTTGAGGCTTGAAGTTGACGCTGTTGCGGCAAGAAGGCGGACGAATTTGTGCAATTAGACGGATTGGCGTTGGGTCCATCATGCGAGCATGGAGCGGTTCAAGAGACGAGTTTCTTGCAGCAACGACGTGAGGCTGAGCACGAACTGATAGAGAGAACATGTAGATACGTGGTGGTGAGCCATGGTACGGAGTACTGTGCCGTCCATCGTGTCAAGCTGGAATGGAATTCGGATTTTGAAGCTGAAGCTGAAGCTGGAGCTGGAGATGTGGAGAGGTAAGCATCATCAGGATACGAGAAATGTTCGGCCCCCGCCCCGCATGACGGACTATGCGACTGTCTATCGACACTGTCCATGCACTCGAGTCTTGGGGTCGCCTTGAAAGCAGTGTAGTCAGTCGTGTTCCGCAAAAGGCATACATACTGTGATATGTGTGCAAAAAGTAGCAAGACAAGGGTAGCCAGCAAATGGCTGGTGCTGCTGTCCGAAGGGGATGGAGCCGTCAGCATTGAAGCGCGTCTGCAACATCTCACATGCTCCATCGCCCCTGTTCCTGGTCATCAGGATCCAGGCATCGAGCATCAAGGGTCAAGGATCAAGGGACAAGAGTCAAGGATCAGAGAATTCTGGGCGTCTCCGACTGCGAGGGGCCGAGAAGGCTGAGATGGATCACTGCAGAGAGCTGGCGTAGTCAGCTGGCGGCTCGACGGTGCATGTAGCTGGACCTGACTGGCAGCGTTGGCGGGCTCTGGTTGGGATGTGCGTGGGGATGATGGGAACGGAGAGGTTCAGAAAATGGAGAGTGTTGGACGATGATGGATGGATTGATGGGACGATGGGGTGATGGAATTATGGAATGGATTATGGATCTTCCTCCTTTAGTGGAATCACCGTGAATCCCACGGCGGCAGTAGGTAGTGGTGATCATGGCCAACAATCCAATTACACGCTGAGCCTTGTCAACAAGTAACAGAGCCAGTAGGTCCCACTTCTTCACTACACAGTGGAGGAGGCGCCTAGTATGTATCAAGTGTTATTTTCGGCAGTGCTGTGCGGTGTTGTGTTGTCTGATTTGTGTCTACACACAGACAGCACGCACATACACACTCATACACACAGACTCGGAAAGGAGCCTTGTCTTCTGCCTCTTTTTGTCTGTTAAATTTCCTCGACCGCTTCGCAAATGCAACAATCTTGCATTTTAAATCTTTTCCGCTATTAATTGTCCTGGAACACTCCATCAATCCACTCTCTTTTTCTCCGTCATTGCTTCTACGCATCTTGCCACGCTGGCGGGGCATTGACTATTCGCACCAAGCTGTTTACGCTGCTTGCAACAACACACTGGAACGTCAAACACGACCCTTCTGTGTATCCAAAGGGCTCAGACACAATATCCCTTCTGATTTTGGCTTCACAAGGTCACGGTGGTGGAAAAGGTATGAGTTTGGCGTAAAACCTTTTCTCGATTCGACACCCGGTCCACCGTTTCACACGGCATCATCCCTTGGATGCGCCAAACTCCATATACCACATGTCTATTCACTTCCCTGTCAGTCCACGCTTATCTGCCATGCCAGGCCCAGTCATCGTGGTCGATTTGCTGCCGGAATCTCCAGAAGCTATGGTGGCAGCCGCTGCTGTTCCGCGACAAGCTCCAGCTATGACTATATCATCTTCGCGTCTCCCTTCCTCATCATTATCCGGAGCATCATCATCAACATCATCATCATCACCATCACCCGCACCGCCTCGACCTCTGCTTGCTTCCAGTGCGACGCCAGCTCCCTCTTCTCGACTGGAAAAACAACTGCCACGGACGCCACCAGAACTCGAGATTCAAGAAAAGAACCGGACGCGTCCACGAGCTCGACCAAACGTCACCATCCGAATTCCCAAGCGGGGCTGGCCGAACTCTTCCGCCATGAGCAAGCCAGCGTTGTTGACAGAGGCCGAATATGAGGCTCTACCACCCTCTATCCAGTAAGTAATCATTTCCACGCTATTACTATTATTATTATCATCATTATTACCACTACGAGCATTCTCCATGCATTCCAACCATCTGCACCTGCACCTGCACCTGCACCGTTGTCCGTCACTATCACCTCTGGCTCCCGCTCTCGCGTTGCGCCCGCTCTACACCAAGTCCGTTCATGGATTCTGCCGTTGCCCCTAGACCTCAAACGAGTCAGCATCTCCGCTTCTGCACCGCATATGTTCGTCGTGTTCCGTGTGTGCTGGCTAAAATAGCTGCTGCATCACGCCGTTGCAATTGAGCGTCTCTGAGGGGGCTGCGAGATCGTCGCTGCACCCCTTGCAACGTGCCCCTCGCCCGTCCAGAAAAATTCCCAATCTCCGTCCCTTTGCTGCACCGGAACATTCACTCACGTTCTTCCTGTAGGCGAAAATATTTCTCCTCTCTGGAGCGTTTGAGAATTGCAGAGCACACCGCTCAACAGCAGCAGCAAACAAAGTCGCGGCCGTTGGCTCGGTTTCCTGGTCCCGTTGTTGTTACAAAAACCTCATCTCCCACCACCAGCCGACCTCGTCCCTGGACCCAAAGAGGCAATTCACGCGTACGGAAGTCGCACTCATTACAACGAGATTGCACCATCTCCCACGCTGAGGCTCAGTGGTTCTTGTCTCTTCCTGAAAAAGTCCGTCGTCAACAATTCTCTCGCGAGGAACAAGTCTTGCTAGCTGGCGGCCTGGATACATATTACCTTGATCACCTGAACGAGAAGTCTGGCCAGCCGGTTACTGCTGTGGAACGACATCACGACTGCGATCTTGACTACGAATCTGATCCACTTTCGGAGAAACGCGGCTGTCTAACCAACCGTCACTCTTCCCACTTGCTCCGGAAAGACAGCTTTACCAAAGACAATTCCGAATTGGTGTGTATCGACGCCATGGCCCCATCTCCGGAAGTCATGACCCAACGGCCTCGCCGCAGCTCCATGCGTCGAACCATGTCGAGCACGAGCGTGACGCTGAGCCCTCTCCGTCAATCTACATCATCGACGCCGTCTGTACAATCATCATTTGGTTCGAGACGACCTCTTCTGAGACCTCGCGCACAATCTCACGCCATGCCTGCATTACTGGACACCGGTAGAACTTCAGTGGATGGTCCAGCAAAACACTATCAGGATCCCGATGCCAGACAGAAACTCAAGACATATCTCGGATCCGCACAGAAATTCGACGAGGCAATTGAGTTTGGCTTTCCGTCGACACACACCGAGGAACCAGCTCCAAGCAAGGTAGAAACCGTGTCGAGTGGTCTAGTCAGCTACGATGTTGCCAATTTTCTACGCGATGAGGTTCTATCCTGCATGGAATCTTACGCTGGCGACCAGTCAGACCGCGCATCAGCAAGAAGCGAAGCAGATACGGAAGGAGACCTTGACAGCCCTGTTACACCTTCCGATTTTGCCCATCTTGGATTCCGTCATGGCGGGCGATCCAACTTTTCCTCCCTCGATTCAAGTGGGCTTCCACCGTCATGGCCCAATCTAAAGCCATACCCGCAAGATGCTCAGCAGGATCTATTTTCGGGAGCGCGCGAGATGACTCTACGAATGACGCTCACTAGACCGGATCTACGTGCGAACGAAGAAGAATTATACGGGTGGCGATACTCGTCGCAAGCCCCATCCAAAGATCCTCTGGCGCTCGAGGCACTCCCTGCCTTTACCAGTGACGTGGACGGGTCTCACAGCCCTTTCTCCAACAACAGCCCGCGATCAAGCCTAATCGGACGGCTTTTTGGCAAAATCAAGAAGAAGACGTGACACATCTTCCATCAAAAAGTTCCGCAGCCGTTCCTTCAACCTACTACTTTAATTCTCTGTATGTTTTCATTGGACTTTAATTGTATTTTCTCGTGTTCCTAGTCATTAGCACGGCGTCGTAGGGATTTGTTGTTGTCTCTCGGGAGCTTTCCCCAAGTTGTTTGTCCTTGAGTATGCAAGGGCATGTCGCGCCGAGTGCGACCTAGCGATGTTTCAGATGGGCAAAGGGATCTGAATTTGGAACCTAGATCTGTGCGCGTTTTCTACTTCTAGACGGGAGCGGCGCGAACAAGCGCGATGGCGATCAGCAGAGCCTGTAACAGAATGGGTGCGCTTCTGCGCACGGGAGGAAAGTTCGTAGTTGAAAATTGTATATTCGCCTACTCCTGATACGAACGGAGACGGACATGAGTGTGTCAAAAGCTATTAATGATTACGTATGAATGGGGATCTCTGGAACGGACCAGTGGTGAAGTTGAAGACCAACATCTCTGGCGAGTCGTCTGGTCAGCCCCCTCATCCTGCCGCACATCGCAAGAGGCAAATCCCGCAAGACTGTGTCGGCTTAGTCGAGTAATTATGGAGTCTGGATGGACAAGACATAACGAGGCGTGGAACTGTTTATCGCGTCACTCTACAACACTACTGCGTAATACACACGCGCAACTCCTTCCGTCTCCGTGCATTGTGCAGATTCAGCCCTGAAAATATGTCCTAACAATGCATATAAGACGATCACAACTCCTCTCCTTGCAGGTCGGCGCGCGCTAACTTGGCTAACTTACCAACATACAGTCTCGAAAAGCGGGCTATCTACTTAGAGAGGAGGTCAAGGAGGCTCGTGAAACGCGCCTTGGCGCCACCTCTTTCGTGCCGACAGCCCTAGGTGGTTAGATTATGCTGGCGCTGGGTCCTGGCGTATGCATTTGAGGATATGAGGGGCTTGGATGTGGACGCTCACTCACCGCCTTTGGATGGGCGGCTCTTGGATTCGATTCCGAATTTCAGTACGGTACAGTGATTAGTAGGACCGTGTCATGGATGAATGCTACTTGCTACTTGCATGGGAAGCTTAGGTGGGAGGATATCACCGTTTGAGGTCGTGCAAAGAAGGCATTATGTCCGCATTGGTATCGGTGTCCGTCATCAGCAGATCTCGCACCACCATTGAGCATATGAGTAATATCTCTCTCTCGCTCTCTCTCCTATCTTCTCTCCCTCTCCCTAGACCCCGTGAACCAAGGGAGTGGACCTTGTCCAGTCATTCAGGGATATCACGTCGAGATAAAGTGGACTCGTGCCTGACCCTCAATTGAGCCCTGGACTATTACTGCCTTGCAAGTCTCTCATTGGCTGTCAACGTTCAGACTGCCCCTGTAAATCTGGCACACTCTGGCGCGCGCAATACATTGGCATGTCACGTGAGGCTTGATATGAAGATATTCAACCAATCAGACCCACAACCTGGACGGGTGACGCTAGCACAACCCAGAGAGCGCTGATAGGCTTAACTGATAATGGAATAGCGTGAAGCACTGCTCTCCTGGCGATATGAAGACTATTACCACTCAGAGCGGGTGACGAGATCAGTGGAGCCATCAGAGCTCTTCTCCTCGCCCACGTCTCCTCGAGGACCTCGTCGTCGACCTCATCATCAATTGTGCGAGGCCTCTGTCTCGGCTATTCTGTTCTATTCCTGTTCTCTTTGCTTTCCTCTTATTGAGCCCGACGACCTGGACGACTACTCCGATCCTGGCCCTTAACAAGACACTGCAGATCCACTCCTTTGCAGCACTTGCATCATTCCGGACTGAGCATCAGGTAACACTGGACCTTTTCATGTCATCTCTGCACCTTCGACCATGAGGTTGTAGGCTCGACATTGAATTGTTCATTGTTTCTTCTGTTTGCTTTCTACCACTATCATTAAAGATCATTTGCGAGAAGAGGGAAACATACGCTCACTAGCAACCTTTTGACGCTATATACACAATTATATACTAAAGACAGACGTCCTTCGACATACTCAAGTCGACATACACCTTCGCTCTCTCAGCTTGGAATCGCTGGTCGGTTTCATACACACTCTCTTGATCGGATATCGTCTACGATCCGAGTACATTTACGCCACTACACTCCGCTATAATACTGTAACTATCTACCGGCAGAAAAAGCAAAGACTTCACATATCAATATGCTTGGATTTCACAGACGGCAGCGAAGCCTGATACCCGTCAAAGAGCTCGCGCGGTATGACAAATTGGACCTAAAGATCGAAGAGGAGGAGGAGATGGAGATGGAGCTTAACGAGATCGAGAATGAGTTGCTGGGTGGCCAGAGGATGAACAAGCACAGGCAGCTATTGGTCATATATGTGGTCTTTCTTGCAGAGGCGTAAGTTCTCTTACTTAGTATGCTGAGTTGTGACATTAACAGAAGACTAACATCCAATAGCATCATGTCCTCGAGCCTACAACCGCAGTTGAAGATGCTCATCGAGTCCGACGACTTCTGTGGTAACCTCTCCTCTTCTTATCTCCGCTCAATTCTCGACTGTGCATATTTCTTTGGTGGTACTGCTGGTATATTTTGGGGGTTCCTTTCAGATCGAATCGGCCGTCGCCCAGTTGCGATTGGTGGTCTTGTTGGCATGACATTCTGCTGCATTGTCATGGGGCTGGCAAACGATCTTGTCTCTTGCGCCGCTGTACGCTTCATGGCTGGTCTCGTCAGCTCTTCAGTCCTCGTCGTAGCCCTGACTATGATCTCGGACCTCAGCCTGAACCCCAAGGAACGAGCGAAGAATGTCGCAAGACTACCAATCGTTGCGGCCGTAGGGAGCTTTGGGCCGGTCGTACAAGGCATGGTTGCAAAGAGCGTCGAGCACAGCGGGAGTATATGGCAGCGCTTCCCCACTCTGAGTGGCCAGATCGCATGTGGAACGGCGGTACTCGCCATCACCATATTCGCCTGCCTCACTCTCCAAGAAACCCTCCCTAAGCAGAAGCAACAAATCGACGTCAACGAGCTTGACTGCGAGAAGGCCGCTTTCCTCGGTCAAGAAAGCGACTCCGAAAGCGATACTGCCTCCGTCCGCATCGTCGAATCCGACATCCCAACCGCAGCCCCGATCTCCATGAACCAATTCCTCAGCGCTCCCTCGCTCATCAGTCTTCTCTCCTCCTACTCCATTCTCTCCCTGCACAGCTCCACCTTTGACGTCCTCCTCCCACACCTCGGCCACTCTTCCTCACAGCACGGCGGCATGGGCATGCCATGCACCTACCTCGGCGCCATCGTGCTCGTCGCCCGTGCCGTCGCCGGCATCGCCCTCACATACACAATTCCCCTCCTCGTCCGCAAATCAGGCCTCCTAGCCCCCTACCGTCGCGCAAGCATGTGCTTTCCACTTCTCTACATCCTGATTCCCGCACTTGCTTCCCTCGCTGCCTCACACACCTCGCTCGTCGCCCTGCTCAGCATCGGCGGCCTGCTCGTCAAACACCTCCTCGCCGGCGGCGCCAGCGTCCTCGTCTCTTTGCTGATGCTCAACGCCGCGCCCGACGCGTTCAGCGCCGGCACCGTCGTTGGTCTGATGCATGTGGCAGGCTTGTTCCGCGCCCTGGCGGTTGCGGTTGCGGGTGCAGTGTTCTTTGTTAGCGATGAGTATAGTGTGTTTGGCGCAAATATGGCGCTGTGGGTGGTGCTTGCGGTGCTGGGCACGGTGGGTGCTGGAGCGGCGTGGGTGGTTCGGGATGGGATGAGGGTCGAGGAGGACTTGGGGAGTGAGGTGCTGCGGTGGGAGGAGGTCTGGGAGGCGAAGGCGGACGGTGGATATGAGGGTGATGAGATATAGGTCGTTCAATATGTTATGACTGAACCGGAGGAAGAGGTCATGGGTTATGAATATTTTTTGCGACATGTACGGTGGATTGACATGGCATGGCATATTGCGTTTATCTTTTTTTTTGTCATAACATGTTGTACGACTTCTTGGGGGATGGTGGTGGTCCTGGTCGTAGTCGTAGTCGTAGTCGTGGATATTGACACTCTTATACACGCATACACACACACTATCTCTCTCTCTCTCTGTCTCTGTCTCTGTCCGTGTACTCTACTCTATATAGCTAACTCGCATCTGACGGCGAACGCCGGATATGGCTGTCTCAAATTGAGTTTTTTTTCTTTTTGGTAATTTTAGTATTTCTGCTAGGTTTTGATGAGATTGATAGGATCGTAGTTGTAGCCTGGCCTAGCATAGCATAGACACCTGCACTCATCCGTTCGTTCATTCATTCATTTAGTCATTCAGTCATTCAGTCATTCAGTCATTCAGTCATTCATTCAGTCATTCATTCAGTCATTTACTTTGTTGTGTTCTGTGTGTGTATACATGTACGGGGGAGTGGATGTAGGGGGGTGGATGTACATCCGGCGTCAGAGGTATAAATATGGAGTTGTGGAGTTATTAATATGTATGTGTACTTGGTGGTTGAAGTGTTGGACTTGGGATCATAGCAGGTATATACAGATAGATGGATAGATAGGTGGGTAGATATATAGATAGATAGATAGATAGATAGATAGATAGATAGATAGATAGATAGATAGATAGATAGATAGATAGATAGATAGATAGATAGATAGAT